CAGATGAGGAACTGAGGCAGAAATGGTTAGATGACTTGCCTAGGGTCACACAGCTAGGAAGTGTCTGAGGCCAGATTTGAACTCAATAAGATAAGTCTTCCTGACTTCAGGCCTAGCACTCTATCCACTGTGCCACTTAGCTATCCCACATAGAGTTATAGACATAGATGTATCTATCTGTCTATATCTTATTCATACATAGTTTTATATTTTTGTGTACATAGTTGTGTATGTCATCTCCCCCATTAGACTGTGAGGTCCTTAACAGCAGGGACAACTTGTTTTTTCTTTTTTTCTTTTCTTTTTGTCTTTCTTTGTATCCCCAGCACTTAGTAACAGCATAATGGATGCTTGTTAACCTGTTGACAGTTGGATTGAGAAACTCTATAGGCTAGCTTGGCTTCTGGTCACCTCACTTTCATGGTGCTGTGTGTGATCTCTGGCTGGCACTAGTAGAGGTGTCCAAACATTTTTATGTGGTCTAGTCACCAGCAGGCCACTCTCATCTCCATCATGGAAGCCTAGAAATCTAAATTATAAGAGCAGGAAAAGAAAGACAGTAAGTGAAAACAGGATAAGAAAAGGTTTTCTCTCATGTGATTTCCGATCATAACCCTGGATGAAGTTGGGAAGGGAGCAACCAATTTCCTGTGCCACAATCATCAGGAATTCCTCTTAAAATTAAAATATCTATCTATCTATCTATCTATCTATCTATCTATCTATCTATCTATTTGTGAGTCATTCTGTTTTTACCACCACTACCAATGAATATGAACATTTTCATGTGCAAAAGATAGAAAAAAAGGATTGGAATTGCAAATCTCCATTACAAATAACTTTTTTTTTAAAGGCAATTGGGGTAGCTTGTTCTTTTCAAAATGCACACTATTATGGGGCTAAATTTATTAATTTAGCATGTTCGTTTTAAAACTTCTTGACTGTGTTTCCCTCTGAACCTGCTTCTGTTTTCTTCTGTTTTTAAAAATGCTTAAATGACTCTCTTTTCCTTGACCTTTTTAAAAAAAATTATCACTGCCCCCCCTTTCTGCACTCCCCCAACAAATTCCCTTAGCAATTAAAAAAAAAGATCCTCCCTTGTGACAAATAAGCATAGTCAAGCAAAACAAACCCACACATGGACCATGTCTGCAAATGTATGTCTCACCCTGTCTATCCTCTAGGTGGGTAACATACTTTTTTTATTGGTCCTTAAGGTGATCTAACAGTCTTTTTTCTCTCTGTGAATTATCTCCCTTGGACCCAGGGTGAAAACAAGTTAAGGAGATGAGCAGGGCAAGCAGAGAAATAGGTTATATCCCCTAAATTATTTTATATGTTTTAGACTGATTTCAACAACTAGATTCAAATCTTCCTGAGGGCAGGGATAATGTATTCCGCATCTTCCCATCTCGCATAGTGCCTAGAGCAGCTTCAGGGTGAATGAAAGGTGATTCAATCCAGTCTCATCCAATTCAACAACCATTTATTAAGCACTTACTACAGTCAGGCGTTGTTGGGATCTTGTTTTTTTTCCAGGCATTGATAGGATTTATTAACGTGTGCCAGGCATTGTCGCTGGGATACAAAGACAAAAGATAGGTACTTAGTGCTTGGATGTTTTGCTCCTACAGTATAAAATGTGTATAATGTGTAGCTCTGACATTTAACGTTTCTTTTCCTCTGCTATCTCTTGTAGAGTTCTTGAAAGTACCTTATCTAGCCTGGAAACTTTCTTCTGGGTAAGGCTGGAGAATCTACTTTCTGGAGAGTTTCAAGAAAGGTGATGATCTGGAAGCAAGAGAATAGAAGGCTGTTTCTAGGACTGGGTATCTTCTGGTGAAGTTTAGGAGCTAGGCATAGCCTTATATGGGGTTCCTGTGAGACAAAGTCCTGCCCGGCTGTACCTCAGAAGGACAGAGAAGCCACATCCTGTAGAGGTCCTGGTTAAAGGTGAGGAAAGAGAAGAAGTCGAGTTTTGGGAAATGAGATGAGAGAATACTGACAAAAGGGAGGTAGGGGGAAGAAAAAATACCTAAATATTTAACCCTGCAGCCTTTGCCTCCACCCCCATCCCATTTAAGAATGCGTTTGTTTCCTCATCAGCTAGGCAATTATCTAACATTCATTTTTGTTGTTGTTTAGTAATTTTTCCATTGTGTCTGACTCTTCATGACCCTATTTGGGTTCTTTTTAAAATAGTATCTTATTTTTCCCCCAATTGTATATTAAAAACAATTTTTAACATTTGTGGTTTTTTTTAATGAGTTCCAAATTCTCTCTCTCCCTCCCCTATCTCTTCCTATTGACAGTAAGCAATCTAATATGGGTTATACATATACAGTCATGTAAAATGTATTTCCATATTACTCATTTTGTGGAAGAAAACAGAAAGGAAGGGAGAGAGAGAGAGAGAGAGAGAGAGAGAGAGAGAGAGAGAGAGAGAGAGAGAGAGAGAGAGAGAGAGAGAAATTGTATGCTTCTGTCTATATTAAGATGCCATCAGTTTTTTTCTCTGGAAGCATTTTTCATCATGAGTCCTTTGAAATTGTCTTGGATCATTGTATTGCTGAGTCATTCACAGTTTTTCATTATATAATATTGCTGTCACTGTGTACAATGTTCTACTGGTTCTGCTCACTTCACTCTGCATTAGTTCATATAAGTCTTTCCAGGTTTTTCTAAAATTATCCTGTTCATCATTTTTTATAGCACAATAATATGCCATTACAATCACATACCACACCTTGTTCAGCCATTCCCCAATTGATAGGCATTCTCTCAATTTCCAATTCTTAGCTACCATAAAAAAAACTGCTATAAATATTTTTATACAGATAGGTCCTCTTCCCTTTTAAAAAAATCTATTTGAGATATAGAACTAGTAGCGGAATATGCAGTATTATAGTCCTTTGGGCATAGTTCAAAATTGCTCTCCAAAATGTTTGGATCAGTTTTACAACTCCACCAACAGTGCATTAGTATCCTAATTTTCACACATCTCCTCCAACATTAATCATTTTCCTTTTCTGTCATATTAGCCAATCTGATAAGTATGAGGTGGTACCTTAAAATTGTTTTAATTTGCATTTCTCTAATCAATAGTGATTTAGAACATTTTTATATGATTATAGATAGCTTTGATTTCTTTGTTCTGAGGCACTGAGAAGTGCCTGTTCATATCCTTTGACCATTTATCAACTGGGGAATGACTTGTATTTTTGTAAATTTGACTCAGTTCTCTATATATTTGAGAAATGAGGCCTTTATCAGAGATATTTGCTGTTAAAAAATTTCCCCAGTTTTCTGCTTTCCTTCTAATTTTGGTTGCATTGGTTTTGTTTGTGCAAAGCCTTTTAAATTTAATGTAATCAAAATTATCCATTTTATATTTTGTAATTCTCTCTATCTTTTGTTTGGTGCTAAATTCTTCCCTTCTTAATAGCTCTGACAATAGATCTGTGCTTCCCTAATTTGCTTATGATATCTCCCTTTATGTCTAAATCATGTACCCATTTTAACCTTATCTTGCTATAGAGTATAAGATGTTGGTCTATACCTAGTTTCTGCCATACTGTTTTCCAGTTTTCCCGGCAGTTTTTGTCAAATAGTGAGTTTTTGTCCCAAAAGCTTGGATCTTTGAGTTTATCAAATACTAAATTACCATGGTTATTTGCTACAATTGTGTCCCTCATCTATTCCACTGATTCACCACTCTACCATTTGGGGTTTTCTTGGCAAAGATGCTGGAGCAGTTTGCTATTTCCTTCTCCAGCCCATTTTATGGATGAGAAAACTGAGGCAAACAGGGTTAAGTGACTTGCCCAGGGTCACACAGCTAGTAAGTGTCTGAGGCTAGATTTGAACTCAGGCAGATGAGCCTTTCTGACTTGAGGCCCGGCATTCTATCCACTGTGACACCTAGCTGCTCCATGAACATTCATTAGGTGATTAATATGTGTTAGGCACTGTGTTAGTGCTGGGGATAGAAATGCAAAATGTGAAATAATGCCTTCTCCCAAGGAGTTTACTTTCTAATAAGGGGGAGAAACAAATCATTAGATAAGTATATGCAGACTATTTAGAGAGAATAAATACAAAGTAGTTAAATACAAGGTGGTTTGGCAGGGAGGGTAATAATAGGTGGGGGAATCAGGAAAGACTTTCTGTACAAGGTGGCACTTGAGTTTCATCTTGAAGAGAAAGGAATTCTATGAGATGGAGGTGAGGAGATAGTGCATTCCAGACACAGGGGCTAGCCAGTGCTGAGGTTCAGAGACCAGAGATGAAATGTCATGTATGAGAAGGCCAGTGTGATTGGATTGCCCAGTGAGGGCTAGGAATAATATCCAATGAAACTGGAAAAAAGTTTGGGACTAGATTGTATAGGGTTTTAAAAGTTAAACATAGTTTATAGTTTATCTTAAAGGCAATAGGGAGCCTTTATTGGGAGAGTTTATTGAGTGGGGGAGTGATATGGTCAGATCTTTGCTTTTCCCTATAACCTCCCCCATCCCCAAATCACACAGTAGGAGTCCACTGCTTTCTGAGGCAGCCCATTTATCTTTTGAGCAGCTCCAATGGTGAATGTAAGTGGGATGGACTAGAGCATTTCCCTTGGAGCTAGAAATGCCCTCTGATCCCTTTCTGTGGGATGTGTGTGCTGGCCCCTTGCTAAAGGACATGTGTAAATGTCTAGCTTCATGGGAGGTTCTCTAATCTGCCTCTTGCTGCATTGGGAGGTTTTCTCTTATATGGAATCTAATATTCCCCTCTGTGCCTTCTATCCCCGATCTAATCACTGCAAACTTTCCTTTTTAGAAACTAAGGTGTCAAGTCCCCTAACCCCTTGTTTCCCATGAGACTCAGCCTGATTCTGTCGTTGAAATTTAACACCCTAAAGTGTCTGTGGTCCTTGGCATGTACCATGAGCCTCACACTGTGGTAGAAAGCTTAACCATACTGCCATCCGGTGAGGAACAAGGCTGGTTACTGACAAACTGGTCATTCTTTTTCGCATACACACTTCCGTCCCTCAAGCACTCCACTTCTCAAACCCTACATCATGGCATGGAAGCTGATTTTCATCTTTCTGTCTGCATGCCCAGGTGATGGGGACAGTTCCCTGAAGGGAGCAGGGAGGCTTGTGAGAGGGTGGAAGATACCAAGTTGCCCAAGGGAAATAGGGATAAGGGAAAGGAATGTCAAGGGCCCTAAGGAATCATAGATAGGTAAGAGCTGTGGGCTAATAGGCCAGATACCTGGGCTCAGAAGGAGAGTGGGAAGCACCAGGTGATGAGGAATGGGAATGGGAGCTACCCTCCACAGAGATGGGGTATGGTATTCCTTTCCTTCACCTCCTCTTCTCCAAGTCTCCCAGGCCAGGATTTTTTGCTATTTGCTGTTGTTGTTTCCTTCCCCTCTTCCCACTCCCTTTCCCTTCTTCTGAATTTCTCCACTTCTTGACTGGGTTCTCTGGACGTCTCCTGCTGTTTCATGATACTTTTCCAAAGATGAGACACCAAAACATGGCCCACCTTAAGCCTTGTTCATGACTAGGAAGCTCAGTTTCCCCTAAACAGGAGAAAGGGACTAGAAGAGAAGGGTTTATTAAAAACCCAACAAATTAAGTGAATCTGTCATCTAAAGAAATGGGTTATGATGATTAGTTAGAATGGTAGCTTTCTTAATGAAGTTAATTTTTAAAAAATGTCTTGCTTCAATAACAGAGTTCTGAAATGAATAGGCTTAATTAGTAATGTTCACTAAGATTTAATCAATTGTTTTAGCTATAGAACTTAATCACCAGAGGTGATTAATTAGTGCTGTTTCTCAATCACATAGATCAGACCTGCACAACTTGTAAACTTCATCAGGCCACAGATAGGTTAGACTAGAGACTGATGGCGATTGGTTGCTGTGAGTTATGTGACAGCCACGCGAAATCCTTGGGGGGTTGTATGTTGTGCAGGCCTGATATAGATTAATTAGTGTTATTCATTAATGAAAAATTAGTGACATTTGTTTACTATCAAGTATTGGGGCTTTGCTGAAGACATTAACCAGAGTCAATTAATTAGGCTTCCTCACAGCAAGACTGGATGAATTGGTCAGCTGGGACTTATACCTAAAAAGTAACTACCCAAATAGGTCAATAAGTGAAGAAAGCTAAAGAATAATGGGGTGAGGAGAAAGAATTAAGTTTCTTATTCAAATAAGCAGTATTAAGAAACTTTGGGTCTTTTTTGTTTTTTGTTTTTGCTTTTTTTGGTGAGGCAATCAGGGTTAAGTGACTTGCTCAGGATCACACAGCTAGTACGTGTCAAATGTCTGAGGTCGGATTTGAACTCAGGTCCTTTAAGAAACTTTGGAAAAGAAAGCTATGGCTCATTTGGGGGCAAGTCATTAGCATCCTCAGTTCCTTAATTATGTGGTTTCTCCCCACTAGGGCTCTCACTCCTGGGGTGTTAGAACCTTTTCTGCATCCTCTTCTCTCCTTAGAATAGGAAAGCCTCCTCCTCATCATCCTTCTTTGTCTATCCACCAGGTGCCTCTCCTCTTTCCATCTTCCAGCCCCCCAGCATCCAGGCCCAGGAGGGCGGCTCTGTCTCCCTCTCCTGTTTGTTCAACATCAGTCAGGAGGGCCCTGCCATTGGCTTTGCCACCTGGTACCTGGATGTAGTAGCCCCAGACAGGGAGGTGAATAACAAGACATTGGAATTCAGGGGCCGTCTTGAAGGCTCTGATCAAGCCCAGTTCCTCTGGGACCGGCTGATTGAGCTACGGATACGGGACATCAGAGTATCTGATGCTGGACTCTACCTGTGCAAGGTGGAGATACTGGGGTCAGGGAGCGGAACTGGAGAAGGGACCAAGCTGGTGGTGAAGGAAGGTGAGCATGCGCGCGCACACACACACACACACACACACACACACACACTTTTCCCTTTTACTTCTTTCCTTTATTCCAGGGAATGAGCCTTCTTACTCAGCAATAATTTATTAAGTTCCTACTATGTGCTAGATACTGTACTAAGCACTGAGGATACAAAGAAAAGCAAAATCTCTGCCCTCTGCCCTCAAGGAGCTCACATTCTAATGGGGGAGACAACTATGTATATATAAGATAGAGACAGTGTAAGTGGGAGTAATCTCAGAGAGAAGGTGCTATGCTGAATAGCTCTTTCAATGCTCTACTTGGTAGGCAAGAACTTTTTTCTTCCCTATGTCTCTGCTACCCCAACATCTTTCAAAAATGAAAATATTCTTTTCCACAGCCCTCTTTCCTTTACTGTTTCCCCAGATCTAGGCTCTCCTTGGCCAAAAGTGTTCCCACTCTTCCTTCGGGCGGCCCTCTACATTTTCAGCTTGGCTTTTGTGGTGATAGGGACCACTCTGTATTACAAGAGACAAGTGAGTAATAATGCAAATGGCTGTAGAAGGAAGATGATGGCTGAGGTGGAAGTGGGAAGAAACAGAGATGGAAAGAAATAATAGATTAGAGCCCTCTGTCACTCTACTTCTCTTTTCTCCTAGGTCGCAATCACCAAAGGACACCAGAGTACCCTGTTACCTAGAACTTCCCAAGAGAATCCCAGTAAACCTCCAGCTACCCCATAATCAACTACTTTTGTCTTTTCCCTTTTATGCTTCCAGAGGTCCTCCTCTCCCCAGACCTGTCTGTTCCCATACTCTATAAACTCCCTTCTTTTAAGCTCAGAATTTAGAGTTTAATTGGTTGGGGGAGGGTAAGGGAAACAATTCCTAACAATGAAGAACGCAGGCTAGCAGCTTTGTGCAGTGGGAAGAGCACCATAAATTTGGAGTCAGAAGATCTAGGTTTGAAGTCTGGCTCTGAAACACACTGACCAGCCCTATGTCTTTGGGCTAGTCACATCATCTCTAAAACTCAATTTTCTAATCTATAAATAAAGTTATTGGACTAGATTATGTCTAAGGTCCTTCCAGCTCTAACCTCAACCTGTTCCCACCCCATCCTAGAGTATAGCTCAAAACTTTCCTCCTCTCAGAGGTACTGGCTGGAGGGAATTTTTTAAAATGTATTAAAATTTTATTTATTTATTTACTTACTCATTTGTTTGTTTGTTTGTTTATAACAATGTGACCATATTTCTCTTCTTCAAATTCCTCAACCCTGTTAAAATCTTGTGGGTCAGGAGTAAACAAAGAAATTGTTCTCCTGCCTTCTGAAGAGATCTGGGGTCCTTGGATTTTCCCTTCTTCACTATTTTCCAAACCACAATCCTCCCTCCCAACTGAAAATTGAACCCCCTATCCTAGAGAGGAGAAGGGGTAGAGAGACCACCTTGAACCTGGAAATGCCTATTTTGAATTTAGGTCTTGCAATACACTGGGAGGCCTGAGACGTTTAAAGTGGTAGAAACAAAACACTCTTTATTAGGTTCACTGAGAGTCTCCCCCCTGGTTGTAGTCTTGGAGGAAGACAGGAAGATGGCAGGGTCATCACCAGACTGAAGCTTGGGTCTCCCCATTGTCACTGAGCATTTTTGGTGGGCTTCATTACAATTTCTGGGGGCCCGCTGGTACAAACTTCTTGGATATGGCCTCTGCAGTTGCAATTAGGCATGGCTACTCTTCTTGACACAGGCATAGTCCCCGCTGCGATCATTTTGAGGAACTTCTCCAGCTCCTTCCCTTAACCCAGCTGTAAGCCCCTGGAGAGATGCATAATGAAGCTGTTGCTCCAAAGAACCATCCTAAAGGGATAGAGAAAGATGGTCAGAACTGTCAGGAAGCAGTTCTACCAAGAACCTCACCCCCTCCATGCCGCTGGTTCTTTCCTTAGTTTATTCTTTCGCCCATTACCCCCATTCTCCATATCTCTAGCTCTTGGCCCTTTCCCCACACACCAACAGACCCCCAGAACTCACCCTGTCCCTCTCCAACCTCATCACTGTAAAAAAAAAAAAAGACAATTCAGCAAGTCTTTTTCTAAAAAATGAATGAATAAAAAGACATTTATTAAGCATTTACTATATGCCAAGCACTGTGCCAAGTGCTGTTGGAAGACAAATGGAAAATTGAGACAGTTTCTGTTCTCAGAGAGCTCTCTTCTAGACCACTCAATTCCTTCACCTTCCTATCTAGGGAAACTACATCCCAAGTGACCAGCTGAAAATTGTCCCTCTTCTCCCATTTCTATCCTCTGAAGAATTCTTTCGTAATTCCGTGTTACTCCTGGGCTTAACAACTTCCTCACCCTGAGTCTTTTAGGAAGAGTTATCTTGAGTATTGGGGGGCAGTAGGAGGGCCTGTGGTGCTGGGAGAGGGCATTTGGAGAAAATTAGGTGGGGTGTATGTATGAGAAGATGCTAAAAGCATACATAGTTTTCGGACATGACCAGTATAGGCATTTGTTTTGCTTGACTATGCATATTTGTTACAAGAGTTTTGTTTTTGTCTTTGTCTTTTTTTTTTTTTCAATTAGAGGGGTTGGGGAGAAAATAGATTTTTGCTCATTAAAAAAAAAACCTTACTTTTTTTTTTTAAAGAGGGGGTTGCCATAAATGGCTGGGAGGGAAAAGCTGGTCCCCAGAGACAGATGCAGCTGAGGGTAGAGAGGGGAGTAAGAAAATCAAATTGATTCTATTTTGTAATTGATTCTATTCTGTATCACTGCCTACATTTTGTATACTGCCTAAGTCACATTTCTTTATCTCTGAGTTAAGTTCAGAAGTTCGGGTTTCTTCTCTGAGTTAATTAAGTTTAAAAGTTCAGTTTTCCTACTAGTCACTGTTCTATTCTTGTGTAATCTGTTATCCCTGAAGGATACTTGTGGATGCCAGGGAATCTGGTCTGTTGTCTCTGCAACATTGGCTGTCCTTCAGAAAAGTCTGGTTTGTTATTGCTGTGATACTAGCTAGTCTTGCAGGTGGACAACCCAGTGAGCTTTCCATAGTGACAAGACAGAAGGAGGGGTTGTTACTAGCCCACATTCCCAGTTTCCTACCAATCACATTGTTTTCCCCATCTATGATGCTGCCTTCTAGCTTTTGTATGCTCCTCCATTTGTCTATAAAAAATAATCTGCCTAGGAGCAGCTAGGTGGCACAGTGGATAGAGCTCTGGCCCTGGAGTCAGGAGGATCTGAGTTCAAATCCAGCCTCAGACACAAACATTTACTAGCTGTGTGACCCTGGGCAAGTCACTTAACCCCATTGCCTGGCCAAAAAAATAAAATCTGCCTGCCCTCATTTGAGGTCTTTTGACTTGCTGAGGAGCTAAAGACCCCTTTATTGGTAATTTGCTCGGAATTTTGTGCCTCAGTTTACCTTAATTTTAATTGTTACAGGAGGGAGAGAAGAGGGTTGCCTATGACTGGCTCCAAGGCTTACCTCTTTTTCGAAGCTGGTATGTACAGACAGACAGAATGAGTACAAGCAGGAACAGGAGGCCCTCCACCCCTCCTATTGCCCACCATATGTAGGTTTCTACAGGAGAGAAAACAATTTGGCAGATATTAATATTCCATGTCTTCCTTATATCTAGATGATACATTCCACCCTCCAATCAGAAAAAGTACAAGTTCCATCAGAGAAATCTCAAAATACTTTACTTCCTATAAGATAGTCTACCACTCAGAGTGGTATCTCAGAGCTATCTCACCTCCTATCTCCTCCCTTTTAGGTCTCTCTCTCTCTTTGCCTTCCTCCCTCCCCCCCACTTCCTACCACAAGTCTCCATTTTGTCTTCCAGGTTCCACTGGGCACCTTTGTTGTAGCAGAGCATGGTTGGTTTGTAGAAAAAAGGGTTCTCGCACCAAAGGAGAAGGAATCTGGAGCAAGGGGCATGGGGGTTGGTGAATATAGGAGGTTGCTTCATCATATTTCTTGAAGCAGAGAAAGCTCCTTCAGTTGTAATTCAAGAGGGGGTTGTCCTTATACAGACACAGTAACGTAGTGTTTGATAAACCTAAAGTCCACAGCTACTAGGGTAAGAACTGATTATTTGATAAAAAATGTTGGGAAAACTGGAAAGAAATTTAAGGCATGGACCAGCACTGCCTAACAAGGTAAGTTCCAGTTGGGTCTGTGACTTAGACATAAAGGATGACATAAACAAATTGGAAGAGCAAGGAAGAAATTACCTTTCTGGTCTGTGGTTAAGGGAGGAAGAGTTTTTGACCAAACAAAGGATAGAGAGGATCATAGAATAGAAACAATTTTGACTACATAACATTAAGATTTTTTACATGAACAAATCCATTGCTCCTAAAATTAGAAAGAAAACATCTTTGCAGCAAGTCTTTCTGAATAAGGTCTTATTTCCAAAACATGTAAGGAATTGGCTCATATTTATAAAAATAAGAGTCACTTCCCAATTGATAAATGGATATGAACAGGCAATTTTCAAAGGAAGAAATCTAAGCTATCAAGAGCCATATGAAAAAAATGCTTTAGATAGCTAATAATTAAAGAAATGCAATTTAAAGCAACTCCAAGATTCTACCTCACATCCATCAGATTGGCAAAGCTGATAAAAAAAAAAAAGGAAAATGACACTTGTTGGAGGGGCTAGGGGAAAACAGGCACATTAACTCTGTGAAGCTATGAACTGATACAGCCATTTTAAAAATCAATTTGGAACTATTCCCAAAAAATCATTAAACTGTGCATACCCTTTGAATTCAGCAATATCACTACTAAGCCTACACCCCCAAAGGGATCAGATAAAGAGGAAAAGGAGTCATAAGTAAAAAAGGTATTTATAGCAGCTCTTTTTATACTAGAAAAGACCTGGAAACTAAGGGGTGCCCAAATGAATTTGGCATATGAGTGTAATACAATACTGCTGTTCCATGAGAAATAAAAAAGGGACAACTTCAGTTAAACCCAGAAAGACTTATATGAGCTAATACAGAAATGGGCAAACTATGGAGAACAATTTATACAATAATTAAGCAACTGAAACTAAACCACTTTGAAAGACTTAAGAACTCTGATTTATGTAATGACCAACCACGATTCCAGAGGACTCATAATGAAACATGCCCCTTACTTCCTGACAGAAAGGAGATGTACTCTGTGTGCAAAATGAGGCATATTTTTTGGATCTGGCCAATATGGAAATTTGTTTTGCTTGATTATGCATATTTGTTACAAGAATTTTGGTTTTGTTGTCTTTTTCTTTTTCAGAGGAGTCAGAGAGAAAATAGATTTCTGTTCATTGAAAAAAAAAACTTAATTAAAAAAAAGTAGGGGTTGCCCTACATGACTGATAGGAAAAGCTGGTCCCCAGAGACAGACACAGCTGAGGGTAAAGAGGGGAGGGAGAGAGGAGGGTTGCCTGTAACTGGCCCCAAGACTTCTGCCCTTGCACTTCCTGTCCTCCAACCACTGGTTCCTGTTTCAGAGTAGAGTGGGGCCCTTGACTCCACCCCAGGGCCAGACATAACTGACCAGAGCTTGGGAACTGGGAACTCATGAGTTCTACATTGTGATGGGGGCAGGGTGAAAATACCATTCTGTAGGGGAGGGCAAAGAGTGAGGAAAAAGATAATGATTTTTAAAATTTGGGGGAACTTAAGAAGAAATACCTCTACCTCCCCCACCCCCACCATTCATTCCGGTCTCTTCTCCCCCAGGGAACCCAGATGTCCAGACTCCCAGAAACAAATTCTCCCTCCCTCCCTGTAGCATCCATTCCGGGTCCATCCTTCCTCTTTCCAATCCCCACCTCCTTTAGAGATCCAGTTATGCAGCTAGCAAGGGTCTCTGACCTGGAATAGACTCCAGAATGAGCTTTGCTTCCTGGGGCAGAATAGAAGATTCTTATTGCTCTCCCTCTTTTCACCCAGTCCCCCATTGTAGATCATCCTAAAGTACTCAGAGAGAGAAAGTTGGGCTATGGGGTTTGGGATTGGAACATATTCCCTTCCATAAATCAGTGTCCACCAGAGGCCTCCTCCCCATGACACACATCCTTTACAACCAAGTCTTGAGAGGATCAAGACCTCCAGGCAGCCTTCCCTGATTATTCCTGATTGCTGTCTTATATAATATCCTCTCAACACTCAGCATTAGAGGCCCAGTGTCTCCTCTATCAGAAAGGGATGAGAATGGACACTTCTTTTGGCCTTGGAGCTCTTTTTAGGGTGAGAATCAGAAAATATACCTTGTGTTTGCTCCTTCGTTTTCTTTCCTCCTGCGTGACCAACACAGGGCACTATTCAGAGGAGTACTTGGCTAACCAACGGGAAAGATAAATGTCCAGGTCTCCATCCTTTCCCTTCCAGGGAATTCCTTCTCTTTTCCCCACCAACCAATTAGCCTCGATCCAAGTCTTTGTCCCAGAAAACTTAATCTGCTTCCATGTCTCCCTCTTATGTGTAGAATCAGGCCTTCAATTAACAAGTATTTGTTAAGCATGTGTCAGTCAAGTGTGATGAAGTTTAATAAGATTAATAATGATGTTACACAGATGTTGGCTCTTATGCAACTCCTTTCAGAGGCTCCATGTGACATTTGGGTTGCTGCTGTAGCACTAGCAACCAGCTGGAGTGCTATCTTCCTTAAGGAAGCTAGGGGATTATTGCTGTAGTTATCAAGGAGTTGTTGTTCAGTCATTTTTCAGTTGTGTCCAACTCTTTGTGACTCCATTTGGGGTTTTCTTGGCAAAGAAACTGGAGTGGTTTGCTATTTCCTTCTCCATCTCATTTTACAGCTGAGGAAACTGAGGCAAGCAGGGTTAAATGACTTGCCCAGGGTCACACAGCTAGTGAGTATCTAAGGCCAGATTTGAACTCAGGAAAATGAGTCTTCCTGTCTCCAGGCCTGGCACTGTATTCAATGTGCCACCTAGTTACCCCAAATCAAGGAATGCATATGGTATATAATTTGTCCAACAAGTGGCAGTCTTTTCAATCCAAGTGGTACCATCAGAGTTGCTCTGATGCCTGCCTAAAATGAAAGAGCCTTCCTCTGAAATATCCCATGATATCTCAGAACACCCCCCCCCCCGGCTTCCACCAAGCTAGTGTACTGGATGGATAACCCACCTTCTCCCTCTCCCCCTCCCTTTCCCCCTCACTCTCCTTCTCCCTCTCCCTTTCCTTCTCCTCCTTCTCCCTCTTCTTCTTTTTCTCTTTCTCTCTCTCTCTCTCACACACATACACACACACCTACCACCAACACCAACACCATTTAATGAATTTTACTTCAGGGGTTGTTATAAAATATTTTCAAGATTGCTAAAATAGGAAAATCTCTAGCTTGCTATGCCCCACCTTGTATCTGAGATTTTTCTTCTTCCATCTCAATGACCCTCTGTGTTTATAAAGCCCAGTCAATCAATTTCTGCAGCCATATAGTTCATTTAACTTAGTGAAGTCACAAGGGGAAAAGTTTGAATGCCATTACACAAGTTAGATATGCCATCTCCCAGAACCTCCTTTCAAACCCAAAGGTTCATGAACAAGGGATAAAGGGAATAGTCCTGGATGGAGTTCAGGACCCAGCTCTAGGTCTAGGTCTAGACCAGTGAAAACAAGGAAGAAATTTGGGGGAGTGACAAGAGATGGGTTAGTCTAGTGGTCTTCTTACCAGTCCAGAGGTTTCACAATGTCTTGGTTGCTGTCTCTCCACAAGGGTCCTTGACTGGCTGCTCTCTGGACCTTGGACTCTTCTCCCCCACAGGTCTGGTTCAGATGCATCAGCAGTGGCAGCATAGCCTTCCTGAAGCTCTAAGTCTATAGGGCAAAAGGCCAAAAGTCAAAGGCAAAGCCCAAAATCTTATCACTTTGATCTTCCTTCCCTCTTCCTTCCTCCTGTCATGAGCAATAGAAGATGAGGGAAGAAAAGAGGATGGCCATTTTCAGAGACTCTATTTTTCCTCATTCTGATCCCTAAACTACATGATACTGGGAAAAATATTAATTAGGAGATAAGAAGGTGGTATGACCATCAGTCATAATAGTGCAGTACTTTGGGGTTTACAACATGTTTTTCTTAAAATAATACTTGTAAAGAAAACTTTCTATGCCACTTTTTCACTGTTTTAATAGCTCCTGCCCATTTCCCAGCCCTTTGTATTCTAGCTTCTGTCCCCACAACTCAATTAAAATTGCTCTCTCCAAGGTCACCAGTGATCACTTCATTGACAAATCCAGTGGCCTTTTCTCAGACATCATCCTCTGTGACCTCTCTACAGTATCTGACAATGTTAATAACCCATCTTCTTCTGGGCACATTCTCCTCCTTGGGTTTCACGACATTGCTCTGTCATGGATCTCTATCTATATCATCCTCTGTCCTTCACAGCACTGTCATCACCCTTATTGAATGAATGTCTCCAAGCCTCTGTCCAGGGTCTTTTTCTCTTCTTTCTTTACACTCTTTCTTTTGGTGATCTCATCCGTGACTCACGGATTCCAATTATCATCTATTTTGCTGATGACTCCCATATTTATACATCTAACCCTCATCTCTCTTCTGAGGGCTATTTCTACATCTTTGACATGTCTAAAACAGAACTCATTATTTTCCCTCCTATCTTCCTCTCCTTTCCTCCCCTTCTCATAACTTTCCTCTGTCTATTAAAGGCACCTCTATTCTAAGTCACTCAGTTTCAAAATCTAGGTGTCATTTTTTACTTTTCACTTCTGTTCTCATCATACAATCCAATCAATTCCATGCCTTGTCAATTCCACTAATTCAACATCTCTCACATTCATCCCTTTCTCTTTACTTACGCAACTAACCTGGTTCAAACCATCTCTCTTCATCATCTCTCTTTAAATCTTCATCTGGACTGCTGCAATCATCTCTTAATTAGTATTCTTAGCCCCAATCTCTCTCCTCTCTAAACTGTCCTCTGCACAGTTGCCAAACTGATATTTCTGAAGTTCATTCCTCTGCTTAAGAAACTTCAGTAGTTGATCCAACCATTCTGGAGAGCAGTTTGGAACTATGCCCAAAGAGTTATAAAACTGTGCATACCCTTTGACCCAGCAGTATCACTTCTAGGTCTGTATCCCAAAGAGATCATGAAAATGGGAAAAGGACCCACATGTACAAAAATATTTATAGCAATTCTTTTTGTGGTGGCCAAGAATTGAAAATTGAGGGGATGCCCATCAGCTGGGGAATGGCTGAACAAGTTGTGGTATATGAATATAGTGGAATACTAGTGTTGCAGAAGAAATTATGTGCAGACAGACTTCAGAAAAACCTGGAAAGACTTAACATGAACTGATGCTAAGTGAAGTGAGCAGAACCAGGAGACCATTGTACACAGTAACAGCAACATTGTGTGATGACTAACTTTGATAGACTTACCTTTTCTTAGTAATGCAAGGATCTAAGACAACTCCAAAAGATTTATGATGGAAAATGCTGTCCACATCCAGAAAAAGAACTATGGAATCTGAATGCAGATCAAAGCATACTATTTGCTCTCTCTTTCTCTTTTTCTCTCTCTCTTTGTTTCTTTCTCATGGTTCTTCCCGTTGGTTTACAACATGATTAATGTGAAAATATGTTTAATATGAATGTATATGTAGACCCTATATCAGATAGCATGCCATCTTGGGGTGGAGGAAGGGGATGGAGGGGGAAAAAATGTGGAACTCAAAATCTTATGGAAGTGAATGTTGAAAACTAAAAATAAATAAATAATTTCTTAAAAATGTTAATTAACTGACAAAAAAAAAGCAGCCTCAGTGGTTCCCCAATGGCTTGAGGGTAAAACCTAAACTCTTTTAGCCTTTAAAGTTCTTCATAATCTGACTCTAGTCCATTTTTCTGGGTTGACTACCTGTTATTCGTAGTCACATATTCTACACTCCTGTCAGACTGGCCGACTTGGTGTACTTCATGCCATCTTCTGATTCCAGGACTTTGCACGAATTGTCCTCCATGTCTGGAATGCCCTCCCTTCTCACCTCTGCCTCCTGGAATCTCTAGCTCCCTTTGAGGCTCAGCTCTTTCAAGTTTTCTCTTTCAAGAAGTCTTTCCTGATTCCCCCAGATGTCAGCTCCCCCCTCCCCTATTATTGTACATTCTTGATGTCACAATAGATACAGCACTGGAGTCAGTGTGAAGAAGAGTGGAGTGGAGGCCTGGGAGTCAGGAAGACCTGAGTTCAAATCCAGCCTTTGACACTAACTAGCTTTATGATCCTGGGAAAGTCACTTAAATTCTATTTATCTCAGTTTTGTCAACTGTAAAATGGAGGTAATAACAGCACCTATCTCTAAAGGTTGTTGTGAGGATCAGATGAGATAATATTTGTAAAGTGCTAGCACAATACCCGATGTATAGTAGGTACTATATAAATGCTTATTCCTACTAAGTGACGAAGTAGATAGAGCTTTGGTCTTGGAGTCAGGAGGACCTCAGTTCAAATCTGACCTCAGACACTTGATACTTACTAGTTGTGTGACCTTGGGCAAGTCACTTAACCCTAGTTGCCTCACCAAAAACCAAAAAAAAGAAGAGACCTAGGTTCAAATTCTGCATCACATACTTACTTGCTATATGACACAGGGCAAGTCCCTTAAGGTCTCAGAACTTGTTTCTTCACCTATAGAATGGTAATAAAACTTGTACTACCTACCTCACAGGATGGTTTTAGGGAAAGGGCTTTGCTCTCTAGGAATGTGAGTGATTCTTATCATCACCTTTCACTTGATGTGATGTCCTACATTATGTGTTAGTTTTATACATGATGCTATCTGTCACCCAACCTTAGCACCTAAAAGATTGTAAGCCCTTTGAGGGCAGGGACTGTGTATATTTTTACATACTCATAGTATCTAGTACAAAGCAGATGTTCAGTAAATGTTTATTGGCTGCTTATCTCTTTAGATATACTCCTCAGTAGCTCTTCATCTGCCTCAGCTGCATTTTTTTTGCAACTGGAGCTGAGCCCTGCTATACAACATTCATTACCAAGACAGGTTTGGGGTATTGACAAGGACATGTAGGGGGTCTGCCTATATCCCGTGCCTGGGCGTATAAGGATAGGGCCACACAAACCTCGTCTCTTTTCCCTTCCCCTCCCCCAGTGCCCAGTCCCCTAAGGGACGTAGGCATCAAGCCATGTAGCACCCTGCCTCCTTCCCGAGTTCAGAGAATCTAGGCGTCTAGTTGCCCTGCCCCACCTCTGGGTAAACAGGAAACTTGGTTGGGGGTTGGTAGAGGAGGAACCATGATGAGAGGAGGGGTATTTGGAAAGTCCCAGACAGGTGTGTACATGGTGTGTGTGTGTTGGAGGGGGTGCCAGTAACCCCACCCCTGCAGTATGAAAGACCCTCCTCTCCGGCTCAGGTCCTAGCTCAGTGCAGCAATGGGGGCTCCAGGGCTGGAGGCCCGTGCTGCTGGACCTAACAAGAAGGGTTGCCTTTTGCTGGCCTCAGTAGGAGCTGCAGTACTGGGGACTCTCCTGCTGTCTGTACCCCTCACTGTCCTGACTATGTTGGCCCTGATGCCCCAAGAACAGGGGGAGCAGGTGAACAGTGGCTATTTGAGTCTCTCTCTGTGACCCCACCTTTGCTGTGGAACATCTCTGTTTCTCTTTCTATGCTCTGGTTTCTTTCTGAGTTTCTGTGTCTTAGGCTTCCCCTCTGTTCACCTCTGTGAAATACCTGGCATCCTTATATCCCTCTGTGTCCCTGTGTGAGCATCTATGACCCCCTCAATTTGCCTCATTCATTGTTTTGCATTTTCCTGACACCTGTGGATCGTACACCCTGACCTTTTCTACCTCTCCTTGCGCTATCAGAATTTGATGCCTCCTTTCTCTTTTCACACTGACTCCCATAACTCTCTGTCTGGCCTTGGGAAATGGGGGTTGGTTGGGGGGAAGAAAGCCTGGAGCTGAAGAATCCAGTTCTTAGATCCAAGTGGAGGAGGAGGTAGTGATGGCCACTGTCTCCCCACCCAGGTAGCTGACCCTTCTGGTCCAGGAGGACAATTGCTGCAGCAACTGGGTAAGGGTGGTTCCCAGTATCTAGATGTGGTCCCCAGGTCCTTCTTCCTACCCCCTTTCACCTCATGAACACAAACATCTAGCTCATGATCTCCATAATCTTGATTCCCTCAAGGACTCTCCCAACCCTTCATTGTTTTTGTTTTTGTTCTTGTTTTTCTTTCTCTGTTTCTCTCTAGGATTTCATAAGCTGCCGGTGGAGTCCAGATCAGATCTCAGTTCCATTCCCCCAGCTGCACACCTCATAGGTAAGGACCAAGGGAAGTGGAGATAGGCTTGAACTTGGGAAGATTTGAGATAAACCTGGAGTGGATCTAGAGTAAACCTGGGTTGGAGTCAAAACCCATCCTGCTCCTTACTGGCTTTTCCATGGGGCTCTTTGTCTCCCTTTTCCCTTTCCTGATTGTCTTTCCTTTTTCATCTCGCATTGTTTCATGTCCACACTCCCCAGCTGGTTCCCCAGTTCTTTCCTATTCTCTTTTTTTCTCTTTGTTCCTATTCCCTAGTGGCATCCTTCCTATTTCTGGTCTCCATTTTCCATTAATTTCTGTCCTACTGCTCCAGACTCATGTCCTAGCTTCCCACAGGGTCTCTCATTTCTATAGCATCCTGGATCTTGGGCTCCCAAGAAAATCTAACCTGAGCTTGTAAAGGTTCCCTCTTCCACAAACCCAGATCTGGATTCCCATACCAAGACCTGTCTGTTGTCCACCAAACTCAGAGTTGAATCCCTTGGGCTATTTAGGACTCTTCTCCTCCTCCTCCACACTCCCTGAATCTTCCAACCTTTCTCCCTCCTATTCAGCCTGTTCTTATTCAGATTCCAAGTAAACTTGCATGATCTGGACAGAATCACTTAGCTCAAGAGCTGGTTCTTAAAAGAGACAGTGTTCAACATTTTGCCCTTATTTTTCCACAGGTGTCTCAAAATCAGGTCATGGGCTGCGCTGGGTGTCAGGACATGAGGAAGCATTTCTGAAGAGTGGAACACAATTCTTGGGGGATGAAGGGCTGCTGGCCCTTCCCCAAGATGGCATTTATTTCCTCTATTGTCACATCGGTTACAGAGGCCGAGCTCCCTCTGGTGGAGAACAGTTCCGCTCTCAGCATCAGGCTGGGGACTTTGGAGTCCCTGTCACCCTCCGCAGTTGGCTATTTCGAACTGGGGGGGCCTCTGGGTCAGGGGAGCCAGAACTGCTGCTTCAGGGGTCTGAGACTGTGACCCCTCCTATGCGGGGAGTTGGGCAGGGCACTTTGTGGTATGCCAGTGTAGGGTTCGGAGGGTTGGCTCAGCTTCGAGGGGGCGAGAGGATCTATGTTAATGTCAGTCACCTTGACATGGTGGACTTCAGGAGGGGGAAGACATTTTTTGGGGCTGTAATGGTGGGATGAAGGACACCTAGATCCTATGGGAAATGTTCATTGGTGGGAGTGCCAGTGACTTGGCTGGGGGGGGTGCAGGTAAAGGGTCCCTAGGGGAAGTGAAGGCTAAATGAGTAGGTCCTAGAGGTAACACTTGGAGGGAGGGAGGGAAGGAGGGATAGATGAGATTGTAATTGTATTAGTTTCTTGAACAAGGAACCCAAGAATATCTTGTAAGTTTTGCCCTGCCAATAAAGATGACTGTTGTTTCTTTTGCCCTGTCTTTTGCTGTTTCTTTTCCTTGCCACCTTACCATGATACAGTCTATTTCTATCCGATGGTCATCCCATCCAAGACACTACCTCCATGTTGTATACTCCCCCTCCCCCTCTACTCAGCCTAATCATAGATTTAGGATTTAAAGTAATCTAGTCCAACCCTTTCATTGAGGTGGGGAATGAGGTACAGAGAAAGTTAAGTGAGCTACCCAACACCACACAAGTAGTAAGTGGGAGAGACAAGATTCAAACCCAGGTCTCCTGGCTCTAAATCCTATGCTCTTTCCTCTGTACCATATGCCATATCAGACTGAGGGTAAAGGGAAGTGTCCCTGCTAAATTTAAATACATCCTCACAACACTCTGGAAAGCTACTCCCACCCCAGCCTAGCACCCCCCTTTTGTCAAGAAGTCTAACCTATTGTCTGTCATCTTCCCAGGCATGGTTTGAGAAATTCAAGGGAAAGGAGGACTTAGACATTAGCCATATCATCAGTCTCTGTCCCTACCTCCAGTCTCTTTATAGTATCCCCAAATCAGCTTTTTTTTTTCTTCCAGGATCAATAATCAAAATTTCTTTAGCCTGGGAAGACTAAAGAGGAAGAGGGGAGTTGGAACCATGTGTATTTTGGCAAAATTCTCCCATCAAGGGAAAGATTTTGGTGTAATTGTTAGTTGTATCATTCAAAAATTACCCGGTTTAGAAAGCCGGCAAGGCCACACAAGGACTATGTCTGAGCCTTACCCGATGATCTCTGCCTGAGTTAGGCCAATGGAACTATGATGCTTCTTTCCCCTGAAAAGTTCTGGGGCCAGGACTTTTATAACAGAGATAAAAAGACATACGGAGGTTGGAAGAGAGATGGAGGGAAGGGTTTCATTTCAGAGAGAAAGTCTCTGTATGGCAGAAAGGAAAGGCTGTCATGAGAGGGGAAATAGGGGTGGGTGGAGAAAATTATCGTGTCATGGGGAGGCAAAAAAGAAAAAGAAAAAAAAGGTTTCGGAGGAAAACATTCTTAAATCCAAGGTGGAATGGAAAGTCCTAGTCCCCAGTTCACACTTCAGGTTGCCAGTTCCAGGAAGAGTGGGGGAAATGGGGTAACAACAGCAGCATCCGCCCCACCACCATTGACCCATTTAGAGCCCCAGTGTGGAGGAAGCAGAGGGGGGACCCAACACTCTATCTAGGTCACTCTTCTCTTCTGGGACCTTGGCTCATTTCATTCCTCCGAAGAATTAGTTGCCCTGAGAAACACAACATATTTGTTCATCTATACAACAAAATTGGGGGTGGAGGTGGGAGTGGGTGGGGAGAAGAAAACTCTGTCCATCTATAGTTTTGTTTCTGTCTCTTGGTTTTACTGCCCATCCTCCTTTCCCCATTGTATCCCAAATCAGAGGGGCCAGACTGGGCAGCAGGTTCTATTTCAGAATTGCTTTTGTTGCTCCGGTTCTGATTTCCTCAACTCTCTTTAGCCTCATTCCTTATAGAACAGGAAAGGTAAGGGAAAGCCGAGAATTTGGGAAAACTAGATCCCTGAAAGGAGTCTGTGGGGGAGGGAAATTGGGCATCCGGACACCTGGCTCCCTGGAAGTTCTTTGGCTGTGACTCAGGTCAAAGGGAATGTTGTCCTTCCCCTGCTCTCTCAGGCCACAAAATCCGGAAACTTCACCTGAGTTGTGGGGAATTCCCCTGATAGCAATTGGAATGCCCAGAATTGGAAATTCCAGTTCTCTAGATATGATTTCCTTTGCCTGGCTCCATTCTTATAGGTGTTCATAGGATTTACAGCTGGAAAGGAAATTAGAGACCATCGGTTGAAGGAGCTGTGGGTGTTCGGCTTGGAGAAAAAAGGACTTGTGGGGAGGAGGAGGGGATAGAGTGATAGTTCTCTTCAAGTAATTAAAAGGCTGTTCTATGGAGTAGGGATTGGACTTGTTCGGATTGGCCCCAGAGGGCAGAACCAGGAGCCGCCCAGGTGGAGTAGTTGTAAAGAGGCCATTATTTTAGCTTGATTTTGGGGAAAACTTCCAAGAGCTGTCCAAAAGGGGAACAGGCTACCTTGAGAGTCGGGGCAGTCCAAGGAGAGGTTAAATGATGATCCCTTGTCAGGTATGTTAGAGTGGTGATTCCTTTTGGCTAGGAGTTGGACAATGACAGTTGCTATGTGATCTAGTTCAGCTCCCTGATTTTACAGATTTAGAAACTGAGGTACAGAAATATTAATGACTTGTCTAAGGTCATACAGTAAGTGTCAGGGAAGGGTGTTTGACTCTGCTTAGTACTCTCTCCAAGATAACACACTTCCTTTCTTTGCTGGCAACGCTTGAAAAATTCCAGGGAAAGGAGGAAAGTCACTCTGAGGGATCCAGATGCTCTATTTACATTGTGCTGGATGGCAACAGCTAATTCCCAATCACATCATAATTTCTCTCATTAATATGAGAACTTTCCCAATACATATAGAACCCCACTTCCCCTCTTTCTCTGACAGGAGATCCTTCGCCACAGACTCCTGCCTTCCCAGGCTAAAGAAATTTGGTTATAGCGAAGAAGAAAAGTTGATTTCAGATGAGATGAGAACACAGGTGTGCAGGAGGAGGCAAGAAGCTAGTTGCATGGGATTAGGAAGGTATGTGTGGAAGAAATGAAGTTTTCAAGAAGTTGGTGGTGAAATGGAGGATAGATGTGTGCTGGGATCCATGGTCAAGAGTCAAGGAAAGGTTTTTATAGGATTGGGAATACCTGAGCAGGTTTATAGGAGTTTGGAAAGAGTTAAACAAATGTGTATTGGAGGTTGGAGAGGATGAGATCAAGGTACAGGTAGGAATGTGACCTTTTGGAGAAGGAGGAAAGGAGGAGAGGACAAGCAATGATAATTGGAATTTTTGAAGAGTAGTGTTGAGGAAGCTCCCATAGGATGGCCTCAATTGGCTTGGTAAAGTAGGAAGCTATTTTTGTCTCTAAGCATCAGGGACATGAAGAGGTTTTTTCTAGTCTTTATCTCTGTGAGATCTCCTGGTTTCTACGATCTTGGAACCTAAGGACTAGAGATGAGGAAGGGATTGTAGAGAAGACTCTCACATCCTGGGGAGAAGGAATTGGGAAGCAAAGAGGAAGGTTTTCTCACCTTGGAATGAGGCAGAGAGAAGAAATAAAACAACTGAATCACTCAGTGCACTGTGATCTCCCAAACACTTTCATCATTTAATAAATAAGCAATAAATAACAATCTCAACAAATTTCAAGTGTTTTCAAAGCAAAGTTTATTTCTCGCCACTGACATATAGGGCGCTTACAGACACGGCTCCCCTGGGGAGCAGAGGTTCAGAGACACAGCGACATACAGCCACTAAATCAGCAATGTAATCAGATCAGATAATTTTTTTTTTTAAATAGGAAGATGGGAGGGTGGACAAGGGGCCAGGATAGGAGACTTGGTTCGGCTCCATTTTCACAGAAAATACTCCTGAGCTGGGGAAACCTCAACATCTGGGTCCCCCATGAATGCTAACCTTCTTAATAAATATATTTAAGAATAAATAAATAAATAAACATACAAATAAATAAATAAATAAACAAACATATTATCTAGTCATAAATAATAGAAACCACCCACGGGGGCAAACAGCAGGGCTCCTGCATTACAATAAATAGAGCAAGAATGATCTGGATTTTGATTCATTTCAGGGTCTAGATCAGATATATACCTCGGGGAGTGTTCTAGAGTAAAAAGGGTTCTCAGGTCACGCTTGTTTTGTGTGCTGGATGCTCTAATCCAGGTCCTAGGTTCCCAGTTTTGGCCTAGGTTCTAAATTGGTTTCAGCATATGGATTTCTTGATGGATTTTATATGTTATTCTGGACCCTGTATTTCTATGGTCCTTGATATGCAGCCAATATCAGTTTATATTACTACTCGCACTCTTCTGACCCTTGTTTTCTCAATGTCCTTTGTCGTATTCTAGCTTGTTCTAAACTCAAGTTCCCAGTCTTTAAAATCACTTTTGAGACCCAAAAAAAGAAGGCAATCAATGGGCATGGAGGAATACTGATATGGTGAATGAAAGGTGAGGAAGGGCATGGGGGCAGGGCTATGACTTCCCTTCTTCTCTCAAAGGGCAATGACCCCAAAATAAACCTGGCCGGACTCAGCAAAGTCAAGATATTTTGGATAGTTGGTTTCAGCGCTGAGCTTATCACCTTTCTCAAGCTGGAAGACACCACCCAGGTAGGTTGGTTCATACCAGGGACTGGCTTCCCTAGCTCCTTGGGCTGCCTTCTGGCATGGACTCTTGATGGCAGCAAGGAGGCTGACTTTGTTTTCGTAGGAGAGTGCAACCCGGGAGATGGTGTGAGTGAGGATCAGGGGTTCACTGGCACAGTCTTCACCCTTGAAAAGGAGCTGGGAGTAGACCAGGTAGAGCCCAGTGGATGGCACCACCAGCTGGTTGTCTTCCAGTTTCATGCCATTGCTCAGGAGGACATTGGCACGCCTTCTCAACCACTGGAGCTGCCCCTCTGCCTGTGGATCAGCTGTAGGGAAAGAGGAAGGAAAAGTTGAGTCCATATGTTTCTTTTGAGTTTCATCTTCCACATTCTGTTCCCTAAATTTTGTTTCCCGCATCTTATTTCTAAAGTTCAAGGCATTCTTCATGTCACATCCCTCAGTTTCTATTCATCCCCATCGAATCCTATCCCTTGCGTTCCTTCTATTCTCTTCATCCTGTTCTTCCAGTTCTAGTCATCTTCTTCTCCACCCTGTCCCTCTTCCTTCCCTCCCAATATTTCTTCCCGCATAGGTTCTGTTTTATCCCCAACATTCCATATCGACTCTCGGCCCATCCCCTGATTCCAGACCCGATTTGGCCCAAGTCCCAAATTTTCAGGTTCTTACCTACAACATGAGCTACAGGCTTGTTACTTTCAGTCTGACAGGATCCTGGGATGGGGGAGAAAAAAGAAAAGGAAGAAATGAAAGTTTAAAACTGAGCTTTAGCTCTCTTTCATTCTCCTTCCACTCCACCAATTTAGAGATGCTTCCTGTCCCCTAAGAACTGTTCCCCCATCCCTATTCCCAGTCTCCTCCCTGATATGTCCCACTTTGGGAATGAAGGTTTAGGAGACTGGGATCATCAACAGGGGACACTTACTGACTCTCTGGGTCAGAGGTTCCATGCCAAGAAAATCTGTGGACTCCTAGAAAAGAGAGAAAGGAGAAGAGGTCAGTGATGACTCATGGACAAAGACAGAGGCTGGGATGTATACTTAAGTGCACCTACACATGCCTCTCATGATTCTCATCTCATTTCTTTTCCCTCATATCTCTCTCCCTTATCATTCCATCTTTCTTTTTGTTTCTCTATCTCCCCATTTACCTTTCTCCTGAGTTCTCCTCCCCTTTCTTCCTTTCTCTCTATCATTCTCTGTCTTTCTTTTTCGCATCTATCTCCCTTACTGCAATTTCCCCATTCCTCTATCTCTCATCATATTTCTCCCTCTCTCTGTCTTATCTCCTTATCCTCCTTTCCCCATCTGTCCTGGCTCCCCCAATCCCTCTCTGTTCCTGTTTCTATGGCCAAGTATTTGTGAGGCATTAGAATAAGTTATCTGTCTCTCACCTCTTCCTTCTGGGGTCCAATCACCCCGAAGTGCAGCAGGCAGAAGAGCATGGTGGCCCCAGCAAGAAGAAGGAAGAAGATAAGTGACAGGCAGAGGCAGCGTCCAGGGCCTTGGGGCCCCCTGGCCTTCCTTTGGAGTGCTTCTTCTGCTAGCTCTACGTCTCGGATCATGTCCTCTGTGCTCATGGTTCCTGTTTTGTGGAGCTGCTCAGTTTCCAGTAGTGTTGTTTTGGGAGAGGCTGAAGTCCAAATCTGTAGTTCCTTGATGCGGAGAGGCAAATGGCCCAGGGGACAGAGAGAGTGTGTGTGTAAGAGAGAGAGAGAGAAAGAGCGCCCAGTGGTTTGGGTTTTTCTAAGGGGTGAAAGAGTTTCAGAGAGCCTGGAGTAGTCTTTCTCCCTCTCTGATTAGTCCCCTGATGTTCTCTGCATGGGAGCTTCTGTCAACTGGGTGAGTGAGCAGCTGCCTTTATATGCCCCAAGGGGAGGGTGCGAGGAGGGCGGGGGAGAAGGCTCTCTCACCCAGCGGGCGGAAAACTTCCCTGGTGGAGAAACCCATGAGCTCATCGTGGAGGAAGCTGTCTGTAGTAGGGGCCCTGTGGACCTTCCCCAAGCTCCTCTCAGTTTCTTCCTTCCAATGGGGGTGGGTATTGGAAAGTTGGACTTGAGGAAACCCATGAGTTTAGGGATATCACTCCCCTTAACCCCAACCATGATTGTAGGAGGGAAGGTGTCCTGGACTGTTTCCCAGTTCTAATTTCCCAGGTCTCTGGACCCTTAGATTTTGACACACCATTCAGGAAAGGCTAGGGCTTAAGTGGTGGACTTAGGGGTTTTCAGACTCAGATGTCTGGGGCCCTGAAAGAACAAATTGAGGTCTGGGAGGTTGGAACTTCCTTGAGAAGAGAGAGAGAAGGGAGAAAGTTGGAGTCCGAGATCTGAATTTCTGAAAGGAATTGGGACATCCCAAAGAGGGTGAAACCAGGCCTGGGAAGATTGTTCTTCTTTCATTCTGACCTCTGGACTCACATCATAGGTTTCATTCTTGGCCTATAGGAATTTTTGGCTCTTCGATGTAGGTCCCACAAGTCCTCCATGATCCCCTCAGAGCATCCCCATATCGGAGTATACATTCCCAGAAGGCCCCTACATTACCTTTGATATCACCCCCACACACCCCTTTATCCCCCATGTCTTTGAAGCCCCTCATATTACTTTCATTCTCCCATAACTTTATGTATATTTCTCCCCAGTTGCCTGCATGTTTCACCATATATCCTTCCTTTCCAACATGGCTCTAAGTATCTTCCCCTTTTGCGTCCCCCTCCACAAAGACCCCTATGTTATCCTATCCTTTAAACAGACAGACAGACAGGCATCTCAGAGGAAAAATATTTATTGAACTTTGCTGAGGGCATAGGTCCAGATAGCGTCCCTAGCACTCTGCTGTCCCCATTTTTACAAGCCCTTCTCCTTCTCACCTGAACCACTCCCTCCCTCCCTCATGCCTTTTCTACTTTTTCTCTATTTTGCCTCTGTGTCTACCTATGTCTCCCTGAGATATCTTTCTGCCTTTCTATCTCTCTCTTCCCATTCTCTGCTTCTCTATAAATAAATAACTTAATAATCACCATTCATAAATAATTTTCCCCATTCCCTGTCCCAACCAACCCCTGATACCCACCCTACACATCCTTTCTTTCCTTTTTCTTTCCATGGCCAGGCTTAAACCCCACTCAGACTACTAGCCAGCCAACCAAATTACTTTTGTCCGGGTATTTCTGGTTAGACTTGAAATTCTCAGTCCAGCATCTGGCAGTGGTTCAGGGGTTGCGGTGTGTGTGGTTGCCTTCACCTCAACCCCCATTCTGGGGAGCCTTCACACCACCCAGAATTCCATCTCTGGAGGTTGCAGAGAAGGGAAATACTTGAAAGAAACTGAGGCAATGGTGGAAGCAGGGAGTGTTGGTGTGGACCCTTGAAACTGTCGGAATAGAGGAAAGGGCCATGGAGGTGGGCCTTGAAGCCATTTTCCTCTTTATTTTTCTATTTCTCTATAGTGCAAAGGCCCCAAAAAAGACACTACTAGGGGACTGGAGCAGGTGAGAGATACCATCTGTATGAGTAGATAGCAGATCTCCCTGGGTAAGCAGGAACACAGCTCCTTGATAGATTGATCTCATCCAGGGTCCTTGGGTCCCTGGGCACACAGACTTCTGGGCACTCAGGAGGGGCACATGAACCTGGTACTTGGAGGAGAAGAGGAGCACCTCATGGCTCAGGTAGAGTAGGGTGGGAGTAATCTCAGAAGAACAGCTGGCTCCTGAGAAGACAACCTGAGAGTAAACGAAGTAGAGGCCGCTTGTGGGGACCAACAGGGAGTTGTTGCTTAGAGAGAAGCCATGTCGGAGGAAAGCGTGGTCTGTGCTTGCCCTCCAACGTATAGAGTCCTGGGTGCTGGGATCTCCTAGGGGAGAGACATAGAAGTCAGGGAGTGTTATGGGGCTGGGGAGAACAAATGTACAGGTCACTGAGGGGAGGGGGGAAACTGGGAGCTGGATGCTTGGGTCTAGGAGGGAAGTGGAGAAGGTGTAACACCTAGATTCTTACCAACAAGGTGGGCAGCTGGTTTGAGGGTGTCTCTTTTTGGGCTCTTCTGGCTGAGATGCTGAGCTGTCTGAGGTGGGGCTGGGCTAGGTGAGTGGGAGTTATCAGGACTGGGAGCCCCCTATGAAAGAACATAGTTAAGAAGGGACCAGAGGGCCAAGATTTCTTTCTTGCCCCTTTAAGCTCCTGACCCCCAGGTCATCCCATCCTGTTGCCTCTCACCTGAGCCCCTGGTGGCTGCAGCCAAAGCACCTGGAGGCTCAGCGCCCCCAGGAGGCACAGGACTCCAGATGAGGTCATGGGGAGAACCTGAGGAGAGAGAAAGAGAAAGTGGAGAAGGGCCCAGGGTGGAGATAATGGGGAGGGGGAGGGGGAGAAAGAGGGAAAGGAAATGGGAAATAAGCACAAAGACAGAAAAGGGAAGATATGGAAAACATAGTGACATAAAGAAGCTGACAGAGATACCAAGACAGAGACACATGTAGAGAGAAAAACAGAAGTACAGAGAGAGAGACAGAGAGAGAGACTAATTGACAGAAATGAGAAATGAGACAGAGAAACAGAAACAGGCAGAGAGGAACAGAAACAGAAGCAGATAGAAAGAGACTGACAGAGAGAAAGTCAGAGACCCAGAAAGAATGAGGTAGAGACCGAGCCCAAGGCAGACCCAGAGAGAGGCAGGTGGAAATAATAGACACAGGAAGCTATGGTGAGAGAATGTGGAATCAGGGGGTTTTAAGGGCCAGGGGGAATGGCTCAGGGTTCAGGAGTGTCTCAGCCAGGGGCCCCTACCTGCTATGAGCTGGGCTTCCTGGGCCCGGACGCCTGGGTCCCTTTATAGAGGAAGCGGCAGCAGGGCGGGAGGGTTCAGGGCCCTAGCCTGGCCGGGGAAGCCCCCGGGGCTTAGAAGAAGGAGCTGGTGTTTCTGCCGAAGGCAGGAAAGGTTGAGGCTGGGAGGTAGAACTGAAGGCTGGGGGCTAGGAGACCAGGGTTCTGGGAAAAGGGAGTGGGGCTAGGAGGGTTTAGGGGAAAGGTAACATGAATGTGAAGGGGTAGGGGGACTGAATTGGAAGAGCCCCCAGAGATCTTCTAGATCTTTATTTCTTTCAGGACCCCTCCATTCTCCCCCCACCCCCCCCGGACTATCCACCCCCATTTTCCTCATTCCCTACTATTTATGTCTATCCCACTTGCCATACACACACTCCTGAGGTCTCAAGTTATATGTTCCTTAGTCCATTGTCTTAACCTGTCTCTAGCATGTGGTGCCTGAGATTCAACAACGAACAAATCATGTAGCCACATGTGACACAGCTTCCCTCTTCCAGATTGAGTCTGTATAGAATTGTTTTCCCCTCCTTATCTCACCCCCTCAGGTGGCACGGTTATCTTTTGTATATTCTACATAAACTCTTAATCATAATTTATACTATACAACATGCCAGTCAAAGTATTGTTAGTGTGAACAGTGTTCAGCTGACAAGATTTCCCATACACAAAACTGTCCTTCCATGTTCTGAGCTACATATATGATATAAAGTGTACTTCAACTCACTCCCCTACTTCCACTCTAACAAAATACACACACACTTGCATAATGGCTCATATTTATCTCTCAAATCTATCACTCATCCTCCAAGTTTGTCACTATCCCCCTTCCTATCTGTCATTTCTTACTTTTTCCTTCCCCTTTGCCTTATCTATTTCCCGTTCCTTTTCCTTATAGCTGGGCTTGTCTGTCTCTTTATCTCACTATCTTTCTGCCATTTCTGTTTCTTTTAATCTTTTCTTGTGCTCTTGTTTCTTTCTGTGTTTTTTTCTGTCATTTGGTAGCGAGGGCAGATAAAGGACAGGGAGACCCCTGAGAAGAATGGAATCAAATAAGTATGATGCACACCCAATCCAAATATCAGTGAGAGACAGAAAGGAGATTGAAAGACAGAAACAGAGTGGAGGAGAAGACTGAGGTACAGAGAGAAACAGAAGAACATGAACAGACTGAAGGATGGGAGGTTGGGGAGTTTGAGTGAACGTGAAGAACTGAAAGAGATCAGGGAGAAACTGAGGGAAGGAGGGAAGGAGGGAAGGAGGGAGGGAGGAGAGAGAGAGAGAGAGAGAGAGAGAGAGAGAGAGAGAGAGAGAGAGAGAGAGAGAGAGAGAGAGAGAGAGAGACAGAGAGAGAGAGAGAGAGAGACTGAAGGACCAAAAGAGGGGGAACCCAAAGAGAAGAGGAGAGTAAGGAACTGAGAGGTGAAAACTGAGGGATAGAGAAATGCGGATAAACTGGGTTTAGGTTTATGAACTCATTTTGAGACTGGAAAAGTTGAAGGCTGAGATAGGATGCTTGAGACTGGTGTCAAAGACATTATGACATTCTACTAGAATCCTGTTAGGAAGGGCAGATCTCAGTTTCAACCTCAGTTTCAGAAACTGAGAAGGATTCAGTTTCTCTCTATGGACAGGCAGGTGGTTAGTCGCAAGGTTTCCCTGTGTGTGAAGGGTGATAATGTGGGGAGCTGGCTCTAACCTAACTTTATGGTGAGGAGCAGGGATGCTTTTACAAAGAAATTAATGAAATCACTGGAGTCTCCATATAGAAAGAGAAATCAAATTAAGGCTCTAACCCAACCCCAGGCTAGAATTTAACATTACTCTAACTCAACTTTAACTCTGTCTTTAATCTCAATTCTAACTCAACACTAACCTTGAATTTAACCTCACAATGATCTTAATACTCACCTTCCAAATCCATTTGGTATTTTATCCTTAATACGATGCAACCTTTATTCCAACACTAACTTTAAATCCTAATCTGTACCTCTAACCTGAACTCCCAACACTAATGTTGACCTCATCTTATTAAACCCATTTCTAACCCTACCTATTAATTCAGTAAAGGTTTGTTAAAGGTATAGCACAGGCAAGCTCCCATGGGAAATACAAAGATGAATGAGACACAGCTGTCTCCACAATGTTTGGAATTTAGTAGGTGAAATTACATATACCCAAATCATTTTAATATAAGGTAATATGTGATGTGTCAAAAGAGAGGCACAAAGTACTACAGTAGTTAGGGGACAGAATATCTGGCTCATCAATAACCTAATTCTTCCTCTGGTATCTTCCCCCATCTTACGCCTTATTCAATCTAGAGACTGAATAATTGAATCCCAATCCTATCCCTGATCCAGATATTAGCCACCAATTTTTAACCTAACCCTAATCCCAACCTCAATAGTAATCCCAAACTTTAGCGTTGACACACAATCCCACTAAGCCTCATTTCTAACATTATTCTTCCTGGTTCTCAAACTCAGTCTGACTCCAATAAAATTTCTATTGTAACCCAAATTCCTGGCTTCAAGCCTGGAGCTCACAAGGACATAGTTTACCCTTCCCCATCTCTTAGCTGTGAAGAACCTGAGTCACTAATCAGGGGGATCCCTGCCTCCCCCAGAACAGGGGCACAGGATGCCTGGGTGCCTGGCCCCAGGAGGTCAGAGGAAGCTAAGGGCCCCTAGGGGACCAGTATTTTTATCAGTCTCAGAAGCAAGACACAGAACCGGAAACTGTGTGGTGAGAGAAAGTGAACTTCACCCTCATCTCAGGGGAACCCCCCTTCAGGGCTGGGGGGCCAGACACTTTGAGAGTGAGACTTGAGAAGAGTTGGAGAATTGGGGCTGGTGGGAGATATCTGGATATATATATTATTTTACATAACATCTGTAAGGGAGAAGGCAATATGCTTAGAAATAAAGAAAAAGCCCTTCTTTTGGAAGGGGGAGGGGTTGCCCAGGTACCGGTACTTCCTGTCCCCTCTCATCCAGGGCATAAACCTTATTATTTCCAAGGGGCTCTTTGCATGCTGGTTATGAATTCTTTGGGCTCTATGAGGAACTGGATGCCTAGGCTGTTCACAGCTCCAGCAAGGTCCCTTCTAAATCACAGCAATTGCCTCCGAGAACCTTTCCCAGAGACCACACTGTCCCTTCAGAAGGCTTATGTCCTACACCCCAATCTTGTCTCTCTCAGAAAATCTCATCCATATCACATCCATATGCATATAAACACATCCAAATAACATCCATACTCCCATTCAGTTCAATTAAAATTCAAAAGACATTTATTAAATACCTACTATGTGCCAGGCACTATGTGCTGGGGATCCAAAGACAAAAAAAAAACCCCAAACCAAAAAAAAAACCCCAAACCAAAAAACCAATCTGTTTGCAAGAGTCTTACATTCTACTAGAATGTGAGTGAGGGAAGGAGAGGAACAATATATACACAGGTAAGAAAACACAAAGTGTATATGAAATAAACACGAAATCTTCTGAGGGGAGGCACTTTGATAGTTGGAAAGCTTGGGAAAGGCCCTTTGTCAGAGATGGCACCTGAGCAGTTCTTCGGAGGGAGTCAGGAATTTCAAAAAGCAGAGATGAGGAGGGAGGGCATTCTAGGAATAGAATATGTATGGCGTATGTCTAAGGTGTCTAAGTTGTGTTTGGGGAAGCAAAGAAGGACCACTGGCCTTGAAATAGAGGGACTGAGGGGAAATTAATGTGTCATCAGCCTGGAAAGACAGACTGGAACCAAACTGCCAAGGGCTTGAAATGCTGAACGTTTTATTCTAGTCTGTTTAACCTGCAGTTTCTTAAGCAGGGCAGACCTGTGCTTTAGGAATATAAATGTGGCAGTCATATTGAAGAGGAAAGAGGCTCCATGAAGGGAAACCAACTAGACAACCATGGAAAGAGGCCAGGGCAACAGTCAGGGTGATAAGGGCCTGAACTAGGGTGGACTGGAAGAGGATAGAGATGAGACATGTTATGGAGGCAGAATCAAAAAGATTCAACAGCTAATCAGACATCCAGTAGGGTGAATGAAGAGTTAAGGGTGATCAGCGACTTTATGTCCTCCATGTCCACTTCTTCCTCCTATTTTATTTTCACTAGTCTCCCCAGAGGCACCCTCCACTTAATGCCCTTTCCCTAATTCCATCTATCTGGGGCTCCCCCATGCAAATGCATGTTCTCTATTTAAAAATTTAGCTTCTAACATAATGGATAGATGAGCATGTGCACCCACAGGCATGAAAAGGTATCTTCTTCCATTTCCTCTGGCTTCTTCTCTTAGAACTAAAGCAGAGTGTGTGAGTTGGGTGGGGAGTGGGCTCAAAGGGAAGCAATGTTGTCTGATCTCCACTCCCACCTCCTGTTTCCTGGAAGCTGGGGTGGGAGGTATAGGGAGGCCAGAGGAGAGAATAAGGAATGCCCCCTATGGGAATCCCCACCTGACCTCTGAGCCCCCTTCCCCCCACGGAGCTTCAACCACTGTTTCCGGGAAGAGATAATGATCTACAAAGTATAGAATGGGTCCACATCACCCCAGAGATTATAGACCAGGGGAAAAGACCAAAGTTCCTGGGTCCTTGAGGGTAACAGGAGCCGGGACTGGGAAATCAGAGTCCTGAGTTGGGGAAGGAGGGGAAAAGGGTGAGGCAGGAAAGAATGGTGGAGAGGGGGGAGAAAAGAATTGGGAGGGGAGCCAGGACAATTCTCTGGATTCTGAAAGGCAACAGGGGCTAGAAGGTATGTTGGTGGTATTTCCAAAGTACTGATGTATGAATTCCTTGAGAAGTCTGGATGCTTAGTTCCCAGCTGGAAGACTAGGAAGGTTGGGCTGTTCTTGGGCGTGGACCTCAGGTTACCCAAGAACAGACAGCCCAGGTTACACAATTCGGCCCTTTCCTTTTCCTTCCCCTGAAGTTATTTTTAGCAACCGAAATTCCACTCCCCCGCAGAGGGGCTGCTTCCCTCTCTGCTCTTAGCTCCCCCTAATTCTGCCCTCCTACAATCCTCCTGATGGGTCCCCTAGCCTTACTGCCCCCCACCTCAAATCCTAGTGACTCAGCAAAGGAAAAGCCCTAGGGGTGGGGGGTGGGGAGGTAAGGGGGTGGAGGATGTGGTTCTGGTGGGGGGGGGGGAGAAGAGACCACAGCTTTGTTCCCTTTTTGCCCTGTTCACATTAAGCCTGTTTCTTCAGCCACAAACAACTGGGTTGAGGACACTTAGGCACTTGGTCTAAAAGTGAGGGGGAGAAAGGAAGAGATACATGAGCTTTGGTGGGGCGGGCTAAAGCCTCTGGGCCTTGATGTTGACGGTTGGGGAGGGTGGCAGCCAGGATGATGTGATATCACAGGCCAAGAGCACATCACACGCATGTGTACGTCTCTGGCATATGAAAACTGTAGACTTAGTAAGCAGAAGGGAGATGTCATAGGTGACAGAAACCACAGAGATGGAAAAACGCAGAGGAGAAATTAGGAATAAGATGGGGGACTCTATTTTATTAGGAAATAATTTATTAGGAAGAGAAGGGAGTCAGCGGTAGCAACCGCCCATGACTGCTCCAGCTCACTTCATCTCTAACCCACAAGCTGTCCTCATTTAGTCCTCATCCTTTTCTACAGTGCGCACCCCTGAGCCTCTATTCCTACACCCAATTTTTTCCTCATTCCATGTTTTATATTTTGTCATTATCACCTGAATCCTGTTGTCTGACTTATACGCATCATATGTACCCATTCTTTGTCTTTTTCTTCTGGGTCACTTTAGGTCTTCTGCATGTCGATTGAGGGCTTGGGACAGAGCCGTCACAATTTCCATTACCTTTTCCCTTTCCCTAGCTTCAATTTGGCACCCAAATCTCTGCAGGAATCGGTCAGGATGCCATTGGACCTGCTGGGCCCTCAAATACTTCCTTAGGGCTCCTCGATCTGTGGGTGGGGGGCCCCTGGCCACCAGGGCTGCTGCCATTGCCTCAGGATCCCTTCCTCCAAGGCAGGGCCAAGGTATGTCTTTAAAACACCAAAGTGTGTGTCCTCCCTTGCGGAGGTCTCCCATAGGCTTAGTCCTATTGCAGTCTCCCCCACAATGCCCTCTGTCTTCCTGGGTCCTCCTGGCTCGGCTCTCCCTCAGTTCTTCTTCCTTGGCCTGGGCTCGCTCTTGGAATAGACGACATTCCTTCTCTTGTTGCTGCCAGCTGCGGCAGGAGGCTGACGGACATTTTGGATGCCGGGCTCTCTTTGTCGCTTGTTGCTGTCGTCGTTTCTGGGCATGTTCTCGGGCCAGGCGTTCAGTCCAGGCAGAGAAGGACTCAGGCTCTGGGGTGTCTAAGGTGGCATCCTCATCACCTAAGGAGCAATGAGTATATAAATGGAAAGGCTTCTTAAGGAGGGAATCAGAAAGAGAAACAATGAGGCCAGGAGGAAGAAAGTCAGGAGATAGATGGGAAGCAAAAGAGACGGAGACAGAAAAGATGAAAGGGATGGGAACAAGTGTGGAGCAGCTAAGCAACAAGGGACATGAGAAGCAGGGGAGGTGCAGGAATCTTGAGGGCATTATTCTGGGGTATCCTTACCCTCAAACCTCCCCAGCATCTCCTGCCACTCATCCTCTAGCTCCTCCTGAAGCTTCTGTCTCCATTCTCTCTCCCTGTAAGCCTCTTCCTCTTCTTCCTCCGATTCTACAGATGGCTCTGGGGGACTTTCCCAGCCAAGAAGTTCCCCAGGGGTCTCTCCTTGTTTGTTCTTCATCTTCATGGCAGTGGGACATTGTGTCATCAGAGGCAGGAAGAAGTCCTTGTAGGCTGTTGACAGGGGTCAAAGGACAAAACTGTTTGCTGTGGCTCTCATCTTAAATTATAAGAACACTGCCAGTTGCTATCTAGGCTCTGCTATTGTTGTTGTTCAGTCATTTCAGCTGTGTCTGACTCTTCATGACTCCATTTGGGATTTTCTTCGCAAAGATACTGGAGTGGTTTACCATTTCCTTCTCCAGCTCATTTTACAAACAAGGAAACTGAGGCAAACAAAGTTAAGTAACCTGCCCAGGGTCACACAACTACTAAGTGTCTGAGGCCAGATTTGAACTCAGGAAGATGAGTCTTCCTGACTTCAGGCCCAGCACTCTATCCACTGCATCACCTACCTGCATTATCTGGGAGTTAGACAAATTATATAATGAGGGGAGCTCTGGTGAGTGAGAAAAATTACCCATTTAGGTACCAACTTTTACTCAGAAGACCACCATCATGGGCCAGATAGTGGGTCCGGGGGATACAAATAGATCTGGACAGGAAAAGCAGGTTGGAAAAATGACTACCATCTTAGAAGTAAAGCGAATAGGAGCTAAATGACTGGATGTAAAAATCTGAAGTGCCACCTTAGATACACATGCATATATCCAATAAGTATGTACACATAGATACACACATAGATTCATAAATGTACCTATATTGTGTACTATATATCTACTGTATATATATATGTGTGTGTGTCTACATACACATATGTATAGGTATGTACTCACACACATATATATTAGGATTTACAACTGCCTTTGCATGTTATCTATCATAACCTTCACAACAACCCTGTAAAGTTGGTAGTATAACTATCATTATTATTCTCACTTCACAGCTGAAGAAATTCATTCCAATGACCAGAAAAATGTCTTGCATCCCAAGGGTCTGGCTTTCACCTTAGATTCTGAGAGCAGACTACTGCTGTCCGACATATTCAAAGCTGTCCTGTAAGGGTTGGACTCACCACTAGGACCCTGTTGAGCAGCAGCATGCAGAGCAGTATTTCCATGGCGGTCCTGGTGAGTGGGGTCAGCTCCAAGGCAGAGTAGCAGTCGAAGGGCAGGAGCATCATGGCGGGCACAGGATCGGTGGAGTGGTGGTGGCTCTCCAGCGTCTATATCCAGCCTTGGGTGTCGAAGAAAGAGGGATTGAGCCTTGCTCAGCCGTCCTCTGGACAGATATCTTCGGAAACGTCGCTCACGTCTGCGTCGGTGAGAAGAACCCATGATGGGTCCTGGACTGAGAAAAGAGAGAAAATGAGGCAATTAGAACCAGAACAGAACATGAGCTCCATGCTGTTCCTTTCATTTTCCCTGCTTTCCCATACTCTCTATTTCTCTGACTTTTGTACACTTCTACCTTCCACTTTAAATCTTGAAATAAAAACTGTTTCCTCTTCAAAACTTAAGTATCTTACTGTGGCAAGTAGCTACATAATTTTGGAGAGGAGATGAAATTGTTTGGGGTTTTTAGAACCAAAAAGTACAATTTTTTTTTCATTATGTATAGTTTTTCACTTCTACTTTATTTTCAGTTGCAAAATTTCTCTTCAGCCCCTCCTTAACTCATTGAAAAGGCAAGAAATAGGATACCCATCATACATATGAAATCACGTAAAACATATTTCAGCATTAGTCATGTTTAAAAGGTACAATTAAAGAAAGGATTTTGAAGAGTAGAGGAACACTGGGCTGGTGACAAAATCTGGGCATATGAATTTTGTAATGATCTGGTTTAGATAATTATCTGTCTACATATAGAAGATATCTGTACCTGTAAGGTGAGCAGGGCCCAGGCCCATCTCAGGATACAGAAAGAAGCACTACCACTCCAAGAAGCCTTTGCCTGCCATAATGTCCCTGTTCAGTGACCCCTGCGTAAGTCGTGGGAATACTGCCCTGCAAAACAAGGCCTAGTGTCGAGTCGGGCCCCTTACAGGGCAGCTCTGAAGGTGTCAAGATGACACCTCAGGATTCAAAATGAAAGCCAGCTCCCTGGGGTGGGGAAAAATGACACCTCTATTTTCACTAATCTCGAACTAAAATTTAGTCTTTCTTTAAATAATTTAAAAACGTTATTCCGAGAAGGGGTCACGGGCTCCACGACACACACAAAAAGTGAAGCAGCCCCGGTCTAGCCCAATCCCGATCACGTGACGGAGAAGGAACATGAGGCACAGGTGCAAAGGCTCCGTCCCAGACCCCGCAGCTGCTAAGTAGCCGAGGCCAGGAATCTAGGCCCTCAGTGGCTTTGCAGAAATCACCGCAGCCTGGAACACGAGGCCCAGAGCGGCCACAAGCTCCGTCTGAGGGTCGGTGGGGTAAGGTAACGCTTCTTATATCCAGCTAAACCGAGCCAAGGCCCCGCCTAGGGCCTGGGCAGCCTGAAGGGAAAAGGGCGGAAGCAAACCGGAAACGAGCGGGGGAAGGGGAGAGGGTGAGGCAGGAATAGGGCGCCTGGCAACTACCGGCGAGGTTCGCCTTCCGGCGAGCCTCGCGGGGCACGAGAGAAAGGTTCCGCGGGACTGGGAGGGGCAGGGGCAGGGCGAGGGGGAGGAGCTGTGCTCTCCTCGGCGCCGGCGTGAATTGGAGAAGGAAGAAGTAAGCGAGCAGCGTGCGGTGATTTCACTGTCGACCGCCTTGTCAGGTTGGGGTCGGGGTCTGGACTGGAGGGACCGAAGAGGAAGATGGGGCCGGGGAGGGAGGGAAAAATCAGGAGAGATACGGACACGGGGTGGAAGCAGGGAGAAATGTAGAGACAGAAATGCAAACCTTGGGGAAACGACTGGAAATGAGGAAGAGACAGAAGAGAGGAAGGAGACGAGTGAGGGAGCTCAGCAGCTAAGAGTTCTAGATTCTGGATCTGGAGTTCAAATCCAGCTTCAGACACATAATAATAACAATCATAAGAATTTACATGGCGCTTAAAGGATTGCAAAGCGCTTTACAAATATTTCATTTTTATCCTCACATCAACCCTGGCAGGTAGATGCGATTATTATCCCCATTTTACAGACGGGGAAACAGGCCGACAGCGGTAGAGAGGCAGTTAGGTGGTGTAGTGTGTAGAGTAGTGGAATCAGAAGAGCATAGCTCTGTGAACCTGGGCAAGTCATTTAACCCCTGTCTGCTTCGATTTCCTCATCTGTAAAATGGGAATAACAACAGGGTTGTTGTGAGGATCAAATGAGATAATATCTGTAATATTCATGAAGTGCTTAGTTCAGTGCCTGACACATAGTAGGCATGTTCAGTACTGAAGTGAATAAATGCCTTTTCTCTTTACTTAAGTGACTTGCCTGAGGTCACACAGTCAGATATTTCCAGGTTCAGTATTCTATTCACACATACTAGCTGTGTGACCCTGTACAAGTCATTTAAATTCTCTATGACTGTTTCCTCACCTACTGGGGTTGCTGTACGGATAAAATGAGACTGTAAAGCATTTTGCAAATCTTAACTCATGGCTATCATGGAGTGTAGTTGCTAGAGATCTGGGGAAAAACCAGATTGTCCATCCTCTTTTTCCAGTCGGCGATAATTTCTGCCTCCCAATTCCATTCTTTGACCTTTATGTCCTTCATACTCATAGCCACCGATCTCAATTACGTCCTCTTTTACCTTCTACAGAAATTTCTACCCACCAAGGCCTTGAATGGAGGCATGAGTGAGGTAGAAGTCATGATACCAAAGTACAGAAAGAGGATAGGAAACCTGCTTGGGGACAGTAGCAGGCAATGTTCTGGTCTCTGTTGCCCTCAGGTGATCTCAGGTGGTAGTGCAAGAGCTAGGGAATGGGATGGAGGGGAGAGAAGGAATTAAAGCCTGAATTGGGAGGAAGACGGAAGTGAAAGCAGGGGGACGCTAAGACCCAACGAAGGGAAGGAGGAATAACTGGATGAGGTGGGGGTGGGTGGAGGTGGTGGCAGTAAGCTGGTACCTTTGGTAGCATCACTGCTCACAAATAGAGATGGCCAGTCAGTCCCAGGGCATCCAGCAGCTGCTACAGGCTGAGAAGAGAGCGGCCGAGAAGGTGGCAGATGCTCGAAAGAGTGAGAGCCTTGGCAGGGAACAGGGCTTTAGAAGGACTGGACATTTAGATTACTGCGAGGAGCGGGGTAGGGGTGGGGAGGCGGGATATGAGGTAGGCCCAAGTGCCAGGGTTCCTTTGGAGAGATGTGCAGGGGATTGAACTACCTGCGTGATTATGAAGGACCCTTGGTTGAAAGAGCCTTTAACTACCTTTCTGGGGATGTTCTTCCATTCTTTCACTCCAGGGAAGGCTCGACGTCTGAAGCAGGCCAAGGAAGAGGCTCAGATGGAGGTAGAGCAGTACCGTAGGGAACGAGAGCAGGAGTTCCAGAGCAAGCAGCAGGCGGTAAGATTTGGGGTGTACTGCATATTGAAAAAGGGAATCAGGGTAACATTGGGGGTGAAGAGAACTCTAATGGAATGGGGACCCCTGTGAGCTATATAGCATTTTCAAATTTTTTTGTGATGTGGAAGGAAGTGTGGGAGGCCTCTAAGGGAAACAGAATTTATGAGGCAGTGTTTGGGCTTTTTACATCCAGTGTGGAGGATGGCAGTGGTCTAGGGTGGGAAATGTGGAATCCTTCTGGCCTAGGTGATAATGTTGGAGTTGATGGGGAATTCAGTTTCTGGGTTATTATGGAGGTCTTAATGAAGATTGCGTATCTCTCTGTTGCCGGGACAGCTTTTGTAGAATTCACATAGTCTGTACATAAGGATTCATGGGAAGGGATAATATCCACATTTGGGTCTTTTTTTCTTGAACTTTCTTTCTGTCGCTTCCTGTGGCAACCTCACACTCTGGGACCCTTCTCTTTGTCTCTTTCTTTCCAATTTCTCTTTCCCCAATGCCCCCACCCATCTTATCCCCTCCCTCCCCCCAACCCAGGCCATGGGCTCCCAGGGGAACTTGTCAGCTGAGGTGGAGCAAGCAACTCGGCGCCAGGTACAGGGCATGCAGAGCTCTCAGCAGCGCAATCGTGAGCGTGTCCTGGCTCAACTCCTTGGCATGGTCTGTGACATCAGGCCCCAGATCCATCCCAACTACCGGATTGCTGCATAGGGACTCTGTACCAGTCACCTCCCCCCTGCCCTGAAACCTCACACCTTGTCCTCCAGCCATATCCCTTTTTTTCCAGCAGTCCCCTAGAAATTCAAGGAGTCACCCTATAATTCTCCCATATAGAACCCTAAATCTTTAGCTCCATAATGCCTGCCAGGACCTTTTAAGTTCCCAGAGAATGATGCCTCTTCCACACAGAATCTGAATCTACCCCTGATGACCTTACAACCTTGACCTTGATAGCTGGCCTCTAGACATTTTAAAAGCTATGTGCTCTTGGGCAAGTGACTTCACTTGTATGAAAAATGGAGACAACAATTGCACTAACTTATAAGGTTCTGGTGAGGATTAAATGAAATAGCTTCTGTAAAGTGCTTTGCAAACCTAAAGTACTGAAAGCTAGCTATCAGTTATTAATAAAATGTCTCCCAGATAGGTCAAAATCTCTCCCCAATTGATTTCATTTAAGTAGTCCTAGTAGCCTTCTGATTCAAATGACTATCTTTCAAGTGTCTGGATTTCTCCAAACATCACTCCTATGACCAGTGATGAAACTAGCTGACCTCCATCACCCCATTAATCTTATTATGGCTCCAAGAGTTTCTTTTTCCTCCTACTCTTTCCTTTTTTGTCTCTTCATCATCCCCTTTACTTCTCCATTTTCTCTTCTTTTTCTCCTATCCCTCAAATTTCTTGGAAAGACCTGTTTGGCTCTTACTATTGCCTGTCTTAGCTATAGAGAATCTTGTGTTCCATGTAATGCTATTAACGGGAGTGTCCCCCATCCTTTTTCCATTTTCCTTCTCCCACACCTCAATTTCCTGTTGTTCTATTCAGCTGTAAAATGAAACCAATGTCAATAAAATAAGTTGTGAAAAACTTGTAAGAGTTCTTTTTTGTAAAATCTCCTTTATAATATCCAATTTTTCATTCTCCCTCACTTTCATTACTTATCAGATGTGGAAATGTTAAGATAAAGCATCTTTTGAAACTTGAGTGATTTAAGGTTAGAATAATGGAAGTCATAAGACTTAGGGAAAGTTGGATCATTTAGTCCAGTTCCCTTACTTTCTACATTACTTAACATATTTTAATTCCCAGAAGGGGAAACTAGTTTTCTAGTTCACATAGCTTTAAATAAATGGCAGAGCTGGGATTTGTACCAAAGTCTTCTGTTCTAAGTCCATTGATTTTTTTCCCCCATTATATCACACTTCAAGTCCAGTTTCACAATACCATTTATATTTATGCAACTCATCCCAAGTGATAAAGGTAGGAGATACAGAAGAGCGCTTAACACAATCATTAAGTGTCTGACAGACATAAAATGGTGAAATTGATAGAGAGGGTGTGGAGGATTTGAACTTAAGTTCCCAACCTATCTGCTTTATTTCTTCATCTGTGAAAAATGGGGATAATAATAGCACCTGCCTCCCAAGGTTGTTATGAGGATCAAATGAGGTAATAGTTGTAAAGCATTTAGCACAGTGCTACATAAATATTAGCTGTTATTATTACAGATTAAGATTGTTCTCAACTATGCTCTCCTATGGCAAGACAGCTGGCAACAGAACATTGGATTAGGGAGTCTGGCTCTTCACTTTCTCCACTACTGGTAATGGGCTGCCATGTTTTGGGAGAATCTTAAAGCATTCTCCACTCTGCAGATTGTGCCCCAAGAATGCATTTAGACTTAATGCTTCCACCCCTAGGCAGAAGGGGTAGAGTTTTGTGGATGTAGACCCCAAGACTGGAAGCAGCAGCAAGGGGAATGGAAAGTGAGGAAGGCTTGTAGCTGAATTTAGGCTCCCCATCCCTACCTCTGGGTCCTTAAAAGTCACCTCCTTTCCTGGGCACACAGTAGCTATACCCCTTCTTTCCCTGTTGCCCACTAACCTAGCTATGCCCTATGACAGTGGCAAGGCAGTGGCCAACCATCCTTTTTAAACTTTAAGGCATGTTAGGTGCCATTGTTCCAAAATCAATCAGGGATATCCATAAGTGGGCCCATCTGCCAGGGGACACTGTGGAGAGGGTTTCTGGTTAGCTGTGGAGACACCCCTCCCCTCTTCCTTGGCTTCCCTTAAGACTTAGCTCAAATCCCCCATTCTAAAGAGGACTGCCCCCCCCAACCGTCGGAGACCACCTTCCATTTGTTCTCTAGCTATCGTGTGTGTACACAAATGTCGCTTGTTTCTCCATTAGATTATGAGGTCCTTGGGGGCAGGGACTGTGGTTAGTTTTTTTGTTGTTGTTGCCGGGGGGGTGTCTTTCTTGGCATCACCAGTGCTTTGCACAGTGCCCCAAACAGCAGGTGCTTGATAAATACTTGTTGACTGGTTGGGTCGCCCTAGGCGGCCTCTGGGGTGCCCAGTCAGAATGGCAGCATACCCACTTCTTCCTGCGGGGCTTAGAATAAGACGAAAGCACCCAGTTACCTGTTCTTTTAGCGCCCCTACTCTCCCACTTCCCATTTCTTCCATTTCACGTTCCCCCAGGCCCGGGGCAACACCTAGCCATCGCACCCAGCGGATAGGCCGGGTAAAGCCTAAACGAAAGTACGCCTAGGTCACCTTGGCAACCACGGCAATCGTAGGACCCCGTGGGAACGCACCGCGTCTCATTCATTGCGTTCCAAGCGAAGAGCGCTGCTTTAAGCAAGCCTGACTGAAAAGCGAAATAGTGGGAGGGAGTTCGAAGTAGTGGCGGGAGGGGGCTTCACAAAAAAGAGAAAGCGGCACTGGGAATTTCCCCCGACGACGTAGATTAGAGCGGCAACGGAGGAACGGGAAAGAAATTCAGAGTTTACATCTAGTCAGGCGCTCCAGGGGGCATCTCTCTAGTGCCCGGGACGGTTGAGGCGTAGGAGGTCCTTGAGCCACGCTTCCTGTCCCTCGCGTCTGCGCACTGGCGTCCTAGAAAGAGAGTAGGGTGAAAAGGGGAGAGGGAACGCGGGGACCGGAAGTGGAGGCCGTTTTCCTTGGTCGCCACCGCTGCCGCCACCAGACGCGTTTCTTCCCCGCTCAGGTAAGCGGGGGCCACGGCCTTCATCCGCATCCATCCGCCCTTCTTTGAGGCCATTCGACAGCAAGGACCCCTAGATACTCCTGCCAAGAGCGGTACCCTAGGCTCCGGGCCCCTGCGGGGCCGTTATTTCCGCCTCCTTTCCCGCCCCGCCCGGGAGGGAAGAGCCCCCCTCCGGGGGGAGGGGGCCGCCGGGAGTGAAGGGGGAGGACCCAAGATGGCGGCCGTGGCGCCATTGTGTCCCCGCCACTGCGTCCCCTGCGGGGTAATCTCTCGTGCTTTGGCGCCATCTTCCCCCAGCGGCCCCACTCTCGCTGGAGAGGTCGGCAGGGGCGCAGCTCTCGTCGTTAGCCGGGATATTTGTGGGGACCGTGGTATAGGGAGACCGCAAGTTACTGCCCAAAGCAACTCTAACCATGGAGTCTTTACTTCTGGGTCCCCCAGGAGCAGTTGGGAAGGGCAGGTTTCTGGGTCCAGTTTCTATAAACCGCCAACAGGTAGAGACATCCCCATTTGATTAAAACCGGCAGAAGGTAGTGGTCAGAGCAGTCTTTCGAGTTTGGAAGGGAGATGTGATACTCTATTGATGAAGGATTCTCCTGCCTCTTCTCTCCCCCTTTGGAATAGAACGTTTTCCTTCTTGACTTGGAGGTTCTCCACCTCTGATCGGTCCCTGTCCAAGAGGGACTTGACTAACAGCCAACAAGGTGGTGTGCTTGTTTTGAGACTAGAATTCCCTGTGGGTGCCATAAAATATCATACTCTGTCACCTTTGACTGGTTGCTGCAGGTTTAGGGCTGGGAAGAAGTTACTGCTTCTATAAATCGTTAGATATTAATACTGCTGCAGAGTCTTTGCTCCAGCTCCAGTCCCTCCCTTCCCCCATATAAAAAATTTCCTTAGTTCTGTGTGGTTATAAAAATTATCCCCTCACTTTCCGCTCTGCAGTTCTTTCATGCTATTACTCTGGTTCCTGTATTTCTTGCCTCAAACTTTGTCCGTAAAAATAACAAATCTACTTCTCCTTGCTCCCAAACTTCACCTTTGTATTCTCACCTTGTCTATTTTTCTCTATCCAGAAGAAATATCTCAATTTTTAGAAAGAGGGAGGAGTATAGAGAAAACTGGAGGTTGGTGGGAAATTTTTTTATTTTATCACCAGCTTGTTTCTCTCAACCCTGTCTTCCCTAGCTCTCAACTCTGAATCCAGTGTCTTCATCTTCCCCTGCTGCTCCCTGAGTCTCTACCACCCCAGCTTCCCTGCACCAAGTTTTCCCAGAGCCTATCTAGCTATCCCCTTCCCTTGACCCAGCCATGGCTGAGAATGATGTGGACAATGAACTCCTCGATTATGAAGATGATGAAGTGGAGACAGCAGCTGGGGGGGGATGGAGCTGAGGCCCCTGCAAAGAAAGATGTGAAAGGTTCCTATGTCTCCATCCACAGCTCTGGATTCCGTGACTTTCTACTTAAGCCAGAGCTGCTCCGGGCCATTGTAGATTGTGGGCTTTGAGCATCCATCTGAAGGTAAGCATCTTTCCTCCTTGTACCATAAGTCTAGGGACCAAGGAGACGACCCTAGGATGGGAAATCCAGGAACAAGAAGATTTGAGGGAAAAGGAAGCAGAGTTTTGGAGAGTGGGAGCAAAGCTGGGGAATTGCTAAGAGAATTGATAGGAAAGAAGTATAAGGGTTTCTAGAGTGAGATGATATGGGATTTACAGTGCAAAAATGTCTGTTGAACTACAATGATGGGTAGAACTAGAGGTAATAGTGATAGAATTAGCAGGAGATGATTGGTGGAGTAAGGTGTGGGTGGGCTGGTAGAAATGGGGTGGGGAGATGATGATGGAATTGGTAGCATTTGGGAGAGGTAAGCAGTTTTCTGAGGGTTGAGACTTAGAGAGATAAGGTGGAATAGAAAGGCAGAAGAGTAATATAAAAGATTCATTCCCTGTAGGCTGAAACCCTGATCCCGTTCACTAGGGATTGTTATTGCCTAAAACTACCACAACCAACTTCTTTATTCAAAATCACTTCTTTCTTCCATTCTCTGATTAAGTGTAGAAAATGTGTTAAAATCAAAGGATTGGGGCAGAAACTACCCTGGAGTGTAAAACAAAAGGAAAGGGGATAGACATTCATTAAGTACCTCTTGTGTGCCAGGTACTGTTAGATGCTTTACAAATAGTGTCTCATTTCATCCTCACTAATTCTGGAGGTAAGTGCTAATGTTAACCCATTTTACAGATGTGGAAATTGAGGCAGACCAGTTAAGTGATCTGCCCTATGTCACACAGCTAGTAAATGTTTGAGGCTGGATTTGAACTCAGGTCTATCCACTCCACCACCTAGCTGCCACTAGAAAATTTTGGAACTGGTTTCTTGTAGTTTATAAGGGATTTTAGGGGTATAGGTTTTGTGTGTCTGGGATACCGATAATCCACCATCTTCCCTTTTCTTTCCCCAGTCCAGCATGAGTGTATTCCTCAGGCCATCTTGGGAATGGATGTCTTGTGCCAGGCCAAGTCAGGCATGGGAAAGACAGCTGTGTTTGTGCTGGCCACGCTGCAGCAGCTGGAGCCAGTCACTGGTCAGGTATAAACAATGTGGGGAACAATGAGGAAAGAGTATTGAAGGGAAAGGAATATACCTATCTCTGCCACATGATGTGTTTTCAGAGATATGAGCACTCAGTGCTGAGATGACCTCTATCTATCACCCTTGACTGATGGCAGATGGGGGAGGAGGGGTGTGTGTGTGTGGAAGAGTTTTGGAGTGGGAGGTGGGGATTTTCTGACTTCAAAACCCAACAGTAAAATGTATAGACCTTTTTTCCAAGACCAAACTCACTTTAAAGGTTTTTGGCTTAATTATGATTTTTATTTTTTAACTGTTGATTTGAAATTCTACCTAATATTGAGAGTTGTACTAGGCAAGACTGGAATGAAAAATCAGTTTCTCTCAAGGAACTTATTTTCTGGTTTGGAAGGCCAAACATACACATGAAAATGGTTTAACAAATAATTCTTGAATACCTGTAATTCACAAGGCATTTTTGGTTTTGAGTGTATAAGAGGCACTTAAATTGTTAGGCCTCAGAATTGAAATTGTTTGATAAGCTTAGATGTATCCTTTGTTATGGTCTGCCTTTTCTTAAAGAAAGGGCAATCTGTTGAACATCTGTCTATCCCTGTCGAAGGTTTCTGTGTTGGTGATGTGTCACACTCGGGAGCTGGCCTTTCAGATCAGCAAGGAGTATGAGCGCTTCTCCAAATACATGCCTAATGTCAAGGTAATTGTTGGGGAGGAGACTTGATTAAGGGTAGAAACTAAGGGTGGAGAAAGAGAGTAGTAATAAGAACCTGTCAGATATATTTGGGGACATAGTATACACCCAGGTCACCTAATCCTAAAATGAATCAGAAGCCATTTCCAGAATAAATATTGTCTTCAGGTATGTTTTGCTTTATGCAGTAGGCAGGTTCCTGAAAAGTTGGATGTGGGTGAGATTTTCATTAGATTTCATCAATCTCCCAAAAAACCCTTTATCTTCATTACTGGTAGATTTTCAATGGCCAAAGGCTCTTAATACATTAGCTTTATTAATTCTTCCCTAGTCTCTTTGTTAAAGTGGTTTGTGAACTGGGGTATAGGTGACTCCATTATCCTGACCCTTTGCTTCTCTGTTTCTCTGCCTTTAAGTCACTTTACTTCTCCTTGCGCCTCATTATTATACTTAGGTCTTTTCCCTTCTTGATTACCATTTGGGATGTTCTAGGAAGTGGTAGTATGGATAAAAGCTTAGGGTGTGTGGTGTGGGAAGGTTTTAAGCTCTCTATCCCTAATGGTATATGTGGATTCGGAAGGTACATGATGTCTTCATTCTTTAGGATAGCAGAAAATTGAGGCCTGGCTATCTGGACCACTGGATGGATGGATGGCCTAAGAGGTTCCCATTATACTTTTCTCACTTAACTGTATTGGAGTAGAAAGCATGCTGTCTGCTTAGGTACAGATGAGTTTGCTTGATTTTACTTCTTCCCAGTCAGAACTGGGCTGTCTTGGTTGGGGTAAATTATGTCCAGTAACTTTGCAACAGACCAAAAGCTCTACATTTCAATGTTCTCTGGTCCCTCAGTGCATTCACCCTAATCTCAGAGCAAAGCAGGACTTTTCAGAATTACGTGGAGAAGGGTATGAAAGAAACACTAGCTAAAGTCAGAAGATTTGAGTTCTAGTCCTGATTCTGCCACTGGCTAACTATATGAGTGAGTCAATCCCTCTGAGTTTAGGTTTCCTTATGTGTAAAATGAGAGCATTAGATGATTTTTAAAGTTTTTATGTGATACTGAAAAGGTTTTAGCCAAAAAGAAAGAAGTCAAAACTGGGAAATGGTGGCTGTTTAGGAAATAGGAAGATAATTATTCTCTGTAGTGACCTTCTTTTCAATTCTGGATGACAGGTGGCGGTGTTTTTTGGTGGTCTATCAATAAAAAAGGATGAAGAGGTACTGAAGAAGAACTGCCCACACATTGTCGTGGGGACCCCAGGCCGTATTTTAGCCCTGGCCCGAAATAAGAGCCTCAATCTCAAACACATTAAACATTTTATCTTGGATGAGTGTGACAAAATGCTCGAACAGCTCGGTGAGTGGAAGACCTGAAGAATAGAGGGATCCCAGAACTGGGGCCGTACCTCATGGAAATTGAAGGTCAGGGTATTTGACCCTCGGAGCCACATGATGTGTTCATGTTAAGATGGAGCACCTCGGTGCCAGGACGACTCTTGATCTATCACCCATGACTGATGGCTCTGGGCTCCAGAAGCTGGGATTCTTTGGATATCTGTGAATGTTTTCATTGGTTCATGATGAAAGGGGATCTGGGGAGTCCAAGCAAGGCAGCATGGTACTTTGGGCAGCTTTGGTGATGGGGATGATAAAAAGGGAATGGTTTAGGCCTTTTTCTTTCCATGTGTTAGAGGAGTGCCTTCAGACCATAGAAGGACGTCCTTAATCTGAGAACACTGTATACTGATTACTCTGCCTTATGTTTGCAGAATCTAGTCTTAGCTATTCTAGGAAATATTGGGGGGGAAAGGGAGCTCAGCTTTTAGGGTAGGAAGAGAGAGAACTTAGCCTAGAACAGAACTAGTAGATAGGCTAAATTTTAGATATTGCGACTAGGAAGCATACTGGAATTGTCAGCAAGAGAAGACTTGAGTACACCTAATTAGGGAGACGTTTCTGGAAGGGGAATTTTGAACAAGATTTGGAAGGAAGGGTTGAAGATACTTGGGTGGAATTAAGGATGTCTGTATGTGTTGGGGGGTGGGATGGGACAGCATATTAAAACCAAAAGTCGTGTATTGACTTTGTTTAGGTTTGGAATAAGTGTGAGCAGGGAACAGGGAACCAGGTAGTGAACTCTTACCTTCTTCAGTATTATTGGAAAGTAACTTTTTCCCTCGTTGTTCCACGTTTAGCCTCCTCATCACTCCTCTTTTGTAGACATGCGTCGGGATGTCCAGGAAATTTTCCGCATGACCCCCCATGAGAAGCAGGTCATGATGTTCAGTGCTACCCTGAGCAAAGAGATCCGCCCTGTCTGCCGCAAGTTCATGCAAGACGTAAATACCCTTCTACCTTCTCTCCCTCCATCCCCTGCCCGCAGCCTCTTCCTACTCCCTCTCCTCGACCTTCTCCAGTCTACCCTCTCCCCTGTCCTCCCAGTGCTGAGATGGAGTCATGTGACCCCCCAGGGCTGAGTCCTCCCTGGAAAGACAGAGATAGAGAAAGCCAGTGATAAGGTCTGCGCGGGTGCCAGGGAAACTCCGGAAGACTTGGTCGGGATAAACACGAGAGCGGGTAGAATTCAAATAAACCCCAACAAAATAAGAAAACCCAAACAACAACAAAACTCTTTTTCCCTTTGGCTGGGTGGGACAGAATGTCCTACCCTGCCACCTACTATTTCCTTTGTCCCCCAAGAGCACACACCCTCAAGGTGGCATCGAACACAACTGGGGCCTTTTGGCTCCCCTAAAAACTCAAATCCCCAAAACCCACATTTCCTGATGACAGGAGAGCAAGAGAGGGACAGACAGACTGCAGGGCATGGCCAACAGAAGAGCAAAAGTCACAAATGAGTCTGCCCCCTCCTCACCTTCAGGGGTGGGGGCCTTCGGCACCTCAACCCCCGACCCTTCTACTCCTTCCCCTCCCTTTCCTCCTCCTCCCCCATCTGGACCCTCTGGAGATGTGAGCCAGCAGCAGAGACTCAGCGCGGCGGGGGATTGCGGATGGCATCCAGCGTCGGAAGGCGGCAGCAGAAGCTGCGGGAGAACCGTGTCCAGGAAGCAGAGGACCAAACCAGCCTTTTTTTCCGTTCCCGGTTTTTTTTTCCTGAACCTTACGCGTACCGCGCTCCCTTCACCCATGCGAGTTGCGGGGGTGCTCCTGAGTGGGTGGTGGATTTTTTTGGTTTTTTGTTTCCTTTTTTTTTTCCGGGAGGGGGAAAGGGCAAGGTAACAAGTGAAGATCTTTACTTTGCTGAAACCAGGTGGGGCTGGGGGTTCTCAGAGTGGGGAAAGAGCAGTGGGGTAAGGCTTGGGGATGGGGGTTTATCTGTATTGCTCCCTTACGTGGGATGCCTCTCTTGTACTGTTACCCCCTGTGGGCAATAGAGATGAATTTCAAGGAGGCTTTTAAACTCCTGCTCCTAAGTGAACTAGACCATCACTTCCCTTGCAGAACTTAAGGCTAGCTAGAGAGATTAGAGAGGCAAATGGGAATTGAGGTTGAATCTGTTATTACCTCTGTGGTGGTTTTCTCCTCCCCTTCAAGGGGGTATATAGATCAGGAGCTGTAAAGGAGAATTCTTGTATAATAATAAGGGGTTCAGTTCTTTGCCTGAACACTTTTACTGCTGGAGTTTATTTAACCTTAGATTCTAGAGAAAGCCAGTCCTGTAAAGGATCTCTTGTCTTACATGGTTCTGGCTGGAAGATGAAAGCAATGTAGTCTTTCACTTTTAAGTAACTTCCGTTTTTCCTTTAACCAGCTGTTTAACATGGCTACCTAATCTTTAAGAGATTTGACCATCTCCCTCTAAGTCAACCTGTCATTTTACCATTTCAGACTTATCTGATTGTTAGTATCATATCCCTCTTGAGATCACTCCTGCTGTTGCCCCCTTCTCCCAGGCAAAATGAGGTGATGTTTTCTAATATATTTGAATAGCCTCTTGCCATTGGATGGTCTCACTGGAGGCCGTCAGTTCTGTCCTTTGTCCTCCTGCCCCAATAATGCTTTCCATGGGTGTTTATGACATCCTGGGATGGCTTATACTTAAAACTCTGTTTTACAGAGAAGAGACTATGTTGAATTTGGGAGGCTGTGGGGTTGGAGATGGGAAGGGAACTTGACATCTTAACTCTCTTCTCCCCATCCCATTCATGGGGTGTATTGGGAGTCACCTATCCCCACCCACACCCACCCCCCTCAGGTTTAACACCCCCACTCTGCCCTCCCTCCTCCGTCCCCTCCCTTCCTCCCCCCCCCAGCCAATGGAGATCTTCGTGGATGATGAGACGAAGCTGACGCTGCATGGGCTGCAGCAGTACTACGTGAAGCTGAAGGACAATGAGAAGAACCGAAAACTCTTCGACCTCCTGGATGTTCTGGAGTTCAACCAGGTCAGCTGGGCCTGAAGGTGGAGGGGTAGAGCATGGGGGGGCAATGGGAGAAAAGCCCTTGAAGGATAATGTAAATGCCATGGATGTCCTTTAGAGGAGACTCGCTAGATCTGATACCAAAGGGATCATTTTTGTCTGGTCTGTGTGATTTTATAAAGGTGGGGAGCATCTCATTTGTCTGTTCCTTTCCTTATAATCATCATCTGTTTTTGTTCTCTGGTTGTTAACTTCCACCCCATAACTTCCCTGTGGTTTTATCTTGTTCTCAAGATGCACAATAGTTTTTTAGAATCAAGTGAAATAAACAAAATGAAAATTGACTTTAAGGCTGTCTGAATAGCAGAAGCGGGTAGTTTGGTGGTGCAGGAAAGGATTGGATTGGGTCTCCTTAGGTAAGATGGTTACTGAATCTTTTTTCTTACCCCACCACACACAGGTGGTGATCTTCGTGAAATCTGTGCAGCGCTGCATTGCCCTGGCCCAGCTCCTAGTGGAACAGAACTTCCCAGCCATTGCCATCCATCGTGGGATGCCCCAAGAGGAGAGGTGAGCAGAGCAGTTGGAGTAAGGGGGCCCAGAAGAGTGCCAAGGGCAGCTGTCATATCCTCCTTTGTCCTTTTCCTCCCTTATCCCCACTATTAGGTTGTCCCGGTATCAACAGTTCAAGGATTTTCAGCGTCGTATCCTTGTGGCCACTAACCTGTTTGGCCGGGGCATGGATATTGAACGAGTAAACATCGCTTTCAACTATGACATGCCAGAGGACTCAGACACCTACTTACACAGGGTAAGTCTTACAGTTGGGTGGTAACTTTTTAATGCCTTCCCTCTTGGCATTCCAGACTTTCCCTCACCTTTATGCCCCATATCCATCTTTTCTATGCCCTGTCTCTTCCTCAGGATACTCCTTGACTTTATCACATTCTTGTCCCTAGGTGGCTAGAGCAGGCCGGTTTGGTACAAAGGGTTTGGCCATCACATTTGTGTCAGATGAAAATGACGCCAAAATCCTCAATGACGTCCAGGATCGCTTCGAGGTCAACATCAGTGAACTGCCTGATGAGATAGACATTTCTTCCTACAGTGAGTATTGGATTCTTGCTAATTAACTTGATCCCTTGATCTCATCTCTCTGTGCCTTTTTTTTAAGTCTTAGAGTGTATTATTTGTTAATTCTCATCACCTTCCCCTTCCCCCTCTATCTCTGTGTAGTTCTTTTTCTGTATCACTTGCCCTTCTATCACTACTCCCAACTCTAATCCTATCTTAATTTCTTTCTTTTTTTATTTTTCAGTTGAGCAGACTCGGTAGAGGCCTTGGCCTTTCCCTGGAGTATGATACCCTCTCCCTCCCCAGGAGCCGAACACTCGGGCGTGGGGGGTGAAGGAGACACTACTGCCACCTACCCCCAGCCTCCCCGCCCCAACGGCCCTGTTCATGTCATCCCCAAAACTCCTTATTGATTTGTCCTATCGGATTTTTTTTTAACAAAACTAAAAATGAAACAAAAAAGTATCTTGAGTGTCTGAGAGTTTTGTTCCTTTATTTGAGGGATGACAGTGGGTGGTGTCTTTTTCTCCTCTTCAGCCTTGGGGGAGGAATGGAAGTAATCTTAGGGGACTGGAAATAGGATCATTTGTGAGAGGATTTAGTTACTAGGGTGAGGAGGGGCTAGCTTCCCCTGAGCACCCCTGCCCATTCTTGGCCCTCCTCAGAAGGAGAGCATTCCTATTTCCCATCAGTGGGTGTTCTCTCTGCTCCAGAAAAGGAGGGAACAGGATGGGACCCTGGGTCAAAGAAGTTCTTAAAAGCATTTGCTTGGGTTCAGCCAGTAAAAGAAGTAAAGGACAGATCCCCTCAAGCATCATCTCTCAGGCTCTCTCGGTGCCGCCTCATCTGCTCCTTGAGCTTCTGTATCTTGAGCACGAGGGCTTGAGCTTCCCATGCCCCTTCCTGGCCCTCCAGCAGGGCTTGGTACAGCTCTAGCTGTTGCTCCAGTAGTTCTTCTGCCTGAGCCAGCTCTGCACTTCTGTGACCTGGACCCTGGGGGGGGGGGATGCAGAGGGTTCAGGGGAACTCAACTGGGCTGTGGTGCTGAGTTTACTGGGGAGAAAAACTGCTTCCTCTGCTCCCCCCCCGCCGTGAGTCCCAGCCTGGCCCCTGGCTATATAGTAGGACAGTGAAAACGGGTAGGGGCCGGGGGGGGGGGGGGATAGGTATTAGTCTAATGTCTGGATGAATGGGATGATATGGCCTTGCTGGACAAAGAGAAAACTGCACCTCTCCTCTGACGAATAATTAACTCTCAAACCAGGGACTGTTCAAGGACTTTGTGGACTCTGCTATATGGAGGGGGGCAGGGGGTGGCTAGATTCTTCAATATTGGGGGAAAAGCTGGAGGGAAAATGGCTCTAGTATGGATCGTAGAATTAGATGCTAGGCTCCAGAAGGTAGAATAGTGGGCTGGATTGGACTAAGGTTTTGTCCCTTCCCCATCTGAAGTGATGTTGCTCCACCCCACCCTATCCCCACCCCTCTTACCTTGTTCGGGGATAGGGTCTTCCTGGTCTCTTCTGTAGCTAGTTCCCCTGTAGGTGGCCCAACATTCTGGGAATAGGCCCCACGAGAAGTGTGAGGGGCCATGATCCGGGAGGGCAGGAGGCGACAGCAGCAACGAGAGAGCCAGGGCAGAGAGAGGCCCATGGCAGGCTGGGGCTGGGGAGGGAGTTAGGTCCGAACTGCCTTCCAGCTGCCAGGAACTGGCTTCCTCCGGGGCCCAGCCTTGCTCTGATGCCCCAGCCCTGCCCAGGCCCCCGCCCCTGCCCGCTCCACTGCCTCCCGCTCCCTCCCCAGGCTGGCCAGCCCGAGAGTCCACAAACTCCTGCTTCTGGGCCGCATATAACCTTTTAATTAACCTCTGGATCTTGGGTGCTAGGGTCTTGAACCCAAGTGGTCTTTCATCCACCTAGATTAGGTTCACATTTTTTTTCCTGTTTCCCACTCATTCATTCTCTTTCAATTCCTTATCCCTATACTGTGGCCTTCACTCCTACTCCTGCCTGCTCCTGCTTCTCCAGAGCAGGGTTCCCACCCCCTCCTACCTTAACCCCCAGGTCTGTCTGTTCTGGCTTTTCATGGATAGTCCCACCTTGATTAGGAAGTGTGTTGTGCTTAGATTTGAATTTTCATTCTCTGGAAAGGTAGAACTGCTCCCTTCAAGTTAAGAGTGATAAAATTGTCATTCTGCTATAAATTGCTCCTCCTCTTCCTCACATTTCTAGGCCTGTCCTCCCTCCTTATCTCCCACTACTCCCCACTTTTCCTTTTTGTTCACAGGGAATCAGAATTCCAGAGCTAGGAGGGGCCTCAGGGATCATCAAGTCAATCCACTCCTGACACATCTATTAATATCCCTCACCAGTGGTCAACCCTTCAGCTGAAGACCTAGTGGCTGGGGTGGAGGGTAGGAACCTCTTGAGGCTACCTGTTCTACTCTCTAATTGTTTCCTTTACATTAAGCCTATATGTATGTGTGTCTTTGCAGTGTCCACTCACTGCTCTCAGTTCAGCACTTTGGGGCCAAGCTGAACAAGCTCTTCAAATTCTGGAAATACAGCTATCATCCTCCTCCTAAACCTTCAGAAACAGCTAGGTGGCGCAGTGGATTGAGTGCAGGTACATAGAGTCAGGAAGATCTAAATTCCAAACCAGTCTGTGATACTTAACTGGTTGACCTTGGGTAAGTTATTCAACCTCTGCCTTAGTTTTCTTATCTGTTAAATGGTGATAGAAGTGCGACATAAATACTAGGTTATTCTCCAGGCTCCAGGCCCTTCATCTGATCTTTGTAGGTATTCCAGTTTGTTGATGCGTTTTCTAAAACATCCCCCATCCCATCCTGTCTCCTGTTTCCCCTTCTGCCCCCCAAAACTAAACACAATACTATAGTTTTAACCTCAATTCCTCATACTCATTTCTCTCTTTTCCCTACCTTTTCTTTCTGTCTGTCGAGAGTTTAGCACAAGTCCTGAAAAACCATCAGCCGCTTCTCACTATTATACTATACCTAAGAGCCTATCCCACACAATTTAGTACTTAACTATTATCTAACTGTTTTGTCTCTTGAGCTGGACTGTCTTCCTTGTGGACAGGGATCAAACCTGATACTTCTTTGCATCCTTTATATTGCTGGGCATAAAAGTGCTGGCTCAATAAATACATGTTGGATTGGAGTCAGTCTCTTGTAAGAGTTTTTGGGCATTCTATTTCAGGTGAATAGTAAAGTCCTAGACCTGACATACTGAAAGGTCAAACCCTGGAATCCAAGTCCACAGCAGCATGAAAGGGCTAGTTTGAAGGAGTCAGCCAGCCTTTCCTATTTTGAATTTAATAATCTGTCATCTATGAATGTGTCTATATTTCTATTGAACCTGTTTATGTTCATCCTGTCCTAAGCCTTAGGGTAACAACTTCCCTCTGTCCTCTCCCTGCTGTGAAGTAAGAGTTCTTTTATCTATTCTAAAAGAAAGAGATATTTCAACACTCAGAGGATTCCCAAGCTCAAGGTTATTGTTTTTGGTAAACAAGTTAATATTACCTGTATCCCAGACTCTCAACCAAGACTGCTGATGCAGAGAGGGGGAAATCTAACAGCAGAAATAGGGAAAAAATGTTTTATATTTCTCACTTGAGAAGATGAGTCTCTATAGTTGTTCCCATGCTTCTGAGGGGGGAGCAATGGTCTCTTCCTTAGTCTATGGGAGAGAAACAGTGGTGGAAGCACATTGACTTCCTATGATCCTCTTCTCTCCACCCAACTTCTAAATCTCTAGCCCTAAGCTCCCATGGCTCTTTGTCCTCTCCCCTTGCCCTGGAATCTCACCTAAGCCAGGCTCAACACTGGGGAAGTGTCTCATTATTCCCTGGAGGGTAAAGAAAAGAGAGAGATTAGAATCCATGACTATGAACAAAGGAGGAAGGACTTCTGAACATTAGAAGAGTAGGGGTGGGGTATAGGGTTGGAAGGGAAGGGGAAGCAATATTTATTAAGTGCCTACTATGTGCTGACACTGTGCTGAGTTCTTTACAGATATTACCTCATTTGATCCTCACAACAACCTTGGAAGATAAGTGCTATTATTATCATCCCTAATTTATAGTTGAGGAAACTGAGGCAGACAGAAGTGACGTGACTTGCCCAGGGTCATACAGCTAGTAAGTGTTTGAGACCACATTTGAACTCAGGTCTTCCTAACTCCAGGCCCAAGGATCTAGCTACAGTGCCACCCAGACTAGGAGTCTAGGTGAAATTGGTCTGATGGAAGTTGGTCAGTTTTTAAACACTAGTGACATAGCCAAGCCCTCAGAACTCCTCTGACAACTCCTCACTCTGCTCAGGCTGAGAGTCTGGGTCAACCCTGAGTGCTCCACAAGGCACGTGTATCTAAGCTCCTCTCCTGATGGGACTTTCACAGTTGCCCAGCTCTGATAGGTCCCATCTCCTCCAGGCCAGGTAGCCTCAGGATTCTAGGGTCCCTGGCTCAGAGGTTCTCTATCTCGAAGCCAGGTCAGGATGATAGTAGGTGAGGAGAAGCCAAATGCCAGGCACCTGAGGGTGGCTTCCTCCTCAGGGGCCTCCTGGAGGCTCCTGGAAGGGATGGAGACATTGGTGAGGAAGGAAAAGGAAGAAGGGAGGATTGAGGGTTAGGATACTGATTGTCTTAGTTTCTTCCCCTCTCCTTACTGCCCTACTTAACCTCCCCCTGGCTTATGTAAGCTTATGGACTCCCCACAATCAAGTCTACAAGAATCTCCTGACAATGAAGGAAATAAGGAAGAAGTTGAAGGCATGCAAACAAACTGAGTCCCCCTAAGACCACTGTAGAGAATTCCTTGTCTTCTTTCCTTTCCTCTAGTTGGAGAGTTTTAACTATCTTCTCCAGGTTCTTGCTGAAGAAGGAGGAGGGATTCAAGACACTCATCTCATCCCAGACCCAGGAAGTCTTGAGCAGGAGAAAATCCCTGGATTATCCTTGGGTTCCTGGCTCCCAAGCCCTGCCTGTAGCAATCCCCGAAGTGTCTTCCTGCAGTCTCCCTGCAGCCAGGCTTGCACTGCTGAAAGATGGCTGCCTACCACCAGCTGCCTTCTCCTTCTTTCTGGTTCCTGGAGGGATGCTCCCCAGGCCTAGGTCACTGGGTTGCAGGCAGCGAAGTCTTCACTGTCCTAGCCATAGCGCCAGAAGCCTTCTCCCCTTCCCAGCTCACAGCCATGGGACAGCTGAAATGTGTGGGAGCCAGGGGTGTCATTCCCTATACCCTATGCCTAAAGTCAGTGGTGAGAGCAGCACGGGAAGGAAAGGGGTGTATGTATGAAGGTGGGGTCTGGGAGCACAAGGATTCCTGGGTCCCGTGATGGGAGAAATCCAAATAAGTGGGTTCAGGAAGAGTAGGGTCCCTACCTCTGGGTCCTATTGAGAGGTGGGAAGATGGACTGGGAAGTGGGATGCCTGAATCTTGTAAGAAGTGTTGACTCGGAGTGTGGATCTAAGAAGGGGTGGGGAAGCAGTGCTCCTGGACTCCTTGGACTCCTGGAAAGGGGCCAAATATTGGGTGTAGGGGGGTGGTCTGAAGCCTGAATCCCTAGCTCACCACTGACCTTGTTGTCATTCAAAATGTTCCTCAATCTCCAACCAATGTTCTGCTCCCGTTATTTCAGGAAGGCCAGCTCGTTGGCCTGTAGCAGCGATCCCCCACACTTAACACCTCCGTGCCTGGGGCTCTCAGCCTGACCCTCCCAACCTCACTGTCACAGCCCACCAAAACCTGGCTGTCTATGCAACCCAGGGCCATGTAAGCAGGTTGCCCTGGACTGGGCTGAGACCCTGCAGTGAAGTCATACTGTGGAACGGGAGTCCCTGAGAAATCAGGAAGGAGGTCTTTGGAATTCCAGCGGGAGCAGGAATCCACCCCCTAACCTTCCTGCCCCCAAAGCTGGGTCTGACGTTAGGCCTGGTCTATCGCGAGATTCCATCTCTCTCCTAATAGATTCCTCTCTTCACTTTCCCTCCTTTCACTCTCTTTTCACCCGAGTATTGACTGACTGCCTTTGCTTTTCCATTTCCTGTCTTAGTCTTCCTCTTTCCTTCTTCCCTCCCCTTTCTTTCCCCTCACCCCATTCTTCTGTATCCTCGAATTTCTCCTCTTTCCCTTTATTCTTCCTTCTTCTAAACCTCCAACTTTGTCCTTCCTATTTCCTTTCTCTTTTCTCATTTATAGACAGCTAAATGTCACAGTGGATATAATGTTGGCTTTGGTGTCAGGAAGTCTTGAGTTCAAATTCTACCATGGACACTTCATAGCTTTGTGTCCTTAACTTCTTTCCGTTTCCTTGTCTATAAAATGGGTATAACAACAGCAAACCCCTTCATAGGGTTGTTGTAAGGATCAAATGAGATCATATATACATATAATATTTATTTTATGATTATATATTATGTAATATATAATAATACATATTATGTAAGATACAATATGTAATAATATATTATGTAATGCATAATAATTATGCATTATATAATATATAATGTGATAAATATGCATAATACTATATAAGTGTATTTCTATATAAAGCATTTTATAAACCTTAAAGTGCTATATAAGTGTTAGTTATTAATATTGTTCCTTCTCCATACACCTGTTTCTTCTCCATTTCCTTCTTCCTTTAATACATTGTTCAATTCAGTTCAACAAGTGTTTATTAAAGTTTATTGTCAGGTACT